GGCCACCGCGCCTGTCGCGTTCATCCGCGACTGGGTCTCCGTCATCCGCATGCACACGCAGTACAGGACGGAGCGGACGGCCGAGTCGCGGAACAGGAATATCCAGGATGCGCAGAAGAGGAGGCTGTATCGGCGCGCGCATGGGCTGGAGGATGTGGAGAAGGAGGGGGTCGGGCAGGGCGTCGATGTGAAGGGGCTGGTGAGTTGGGATGATGGCTTGACGAGGGGGGAGAGGGAGAGGATGCTCAAGGCCGCGGCTGAGGCGGTGGATGATGCGAGTCCGGTCAGGAGGGAGGGGGAGGGTTGGGGGGAGGAGCGCAGCAGCAGCAGCGGAGTGAAGAGGCACAGAGGAGGGAGAGGAGACCGGTTAAGAAATGGTTGGGCATTTGGTAGGGCACAGTACTACGCACGAGGACATTCGCAGGTACTCATGGTCCCGTATATATTTCTGGAACGCCATACCTCAAAGCTGATTCACCTCCACTGTGTCCTACCCTTCCATGCACTCTACATCACTCTAGCATCCAGCCCGTGAATTTCGCTCACTACGTCTCTACAATCAGCTAAGAGGCCTTCGCCTTAGAGTCTTCCTGCTTCGCACACCTCCGTTCCCACAAGCAACCCTGACATAGAACCCAGATGTCATGTGATCCTACGTCCCTCATCTCCACCCTATTGATACACTGCAGCTCTGCCCTCTTCTTCTCCGTGCCAGGACTTCGTCCATGGCTAAAATTCTCTCCATCTTCCAGGCCGGCGGCCAGCATTGATGTGACAGTGGTTCGAGGAAAGAGAACGGCGTATTCCAGACAAGACGAAAAAGACCAAGTTGGAGGAGGCTGACGCCGCAGTATGGCCCTGAACTCTTGCTCTACAGCGTCTTTTTGCGATCGTCTCCTTTTGCGGCCGGGAAATAGATATCATGCGTATTTGGTTACTCGGCACACAGTCCAGTGCTGGAGAGGTTGAAGACAATTTCTTTTTTGCCATCACGAGCGCAAGAAGGCCTCTAAGCCATCAAAGACCTCGCGTGCCACTCCCAGCTCGTCACCGCCCGTGCCCACGACGGCTCTGACGACGCGTTTCAAGACTTCCCTCTTCACGCCGCCGACTTTAGGTTTCCACACGCCGGGGACGAGCTCGCCTTCCACCACCTCCCCGGCAGCAGGCACGCCTCTCATCGTGTCGCGGGCGGGCGTCTCAATGGTCCTGATCGCCAGGAGCGTCGGCGTTTGGGCATCATCATGATGATGATGATGCGTGGTGGTGTCGGAGAAGGCGACGGAGACGGCCAACACGGCATCTGCGACGGCGAGTTCCGAGTGGGAGGGGTCGAAGATGATGTTGGAGTTGACGGTCATGACCAGGAGGGTGATTGGGGGCATGCTCAGCCGTCCCGCCTCCGGGGGGATGCTGTGCTCGTTGGCTCCGGCGTTTCCGCTGGCGCTATCGGGTTTCCGGGCGGATGTGGGAGGCGGGAATAGGAAGAGGCTGCTTTCCCAGTCGTCGTCGACGAGCGGATCTTCCTCGCCTTGGCTTTTCAGCTTCGGTAGCCGAGCGCTGCGGAGGGCGAGATGCGTGGCTAGCGAGAGTAGGGGTAAGGGGTAGCTTGTCCCTGAGGCGGTGAAGGGGGAGAGCAGGAGAATGTCGATGTGTAGATGCCAGTGCCAATTGCTGTTGATGACGAGCATGTCGGCTAGGTTAGCGGCCGTTGTTGTCGCTGACGATGTCGTAAGCAGTGGTTCGCGTAGCATCTCGCTCAGGAAGATTAGGAGCGGGTCATCGTCTCGGAGCGTTGAGATATCGACGTTTAGCGAGATCCAGTCGGGATGGCCTCGAGGTTTCCGGTTCGAGTTGAGACCTGCTGCTGCTGCTGATATAGTGGAAGAAGGTTCGTCGAGGCTCATCTTCTCGTGCATCTCCTCGTCGAGGCGCTTGGTCACGTTGGCGCCGGCCGTGCGGTGCACTTCTGCCTTGATGCCGACTAGGGCCTCGCTTCCGTCCGTGAGGGACACGTGGGCGGACCCGTTGCATGTCGGAAGCAGATCTGTCTCGGCGCGGAGGGGGCGGAACTCGGTGGGGGAGCGTAAATCGGGCCGTAGAGGTGGTGTCTGTGTGAGAGAGGTGTGGAGGTAGGATAGCTCCGCTGGCGAGAGCGTTGTAGGGGTTGAAGTGGTGGGCATGATGTAGCATGGGTATGGAGGCTTGGACTTGGGAAAGAGTTGCTGGATCTATCGCATATGCCTTTGTGTTTAGGCGGTCTTCTGGAACAGCAGAATACGACGGCAGCTCTGATTTTCACCAGCGTCTGATGGATATGATGCAGGCATTGAACGCACTATCTGAGGAGCACAATATGTACGTGTTGCGCTCGAGAAGCAGATAATTTCTAGCTCTAGAGACAGATTTATCCATCCTTCATACCTTTACTAGAAGAAATACGCAGGAGGATACCTCGGTTGCTGGTGGACTATGGACTATGTAGCATAGTAGTCGTTCAATCAGAAATTACATTGATGTCAACACAAAGCCCTAGTGGCTTGCCCTAGCTGTTGCCTCTTTCGTACACTTTTCTATATGGCCTCACTTCTTTTGCCGAATGTTATCCACTGTCTCTTATACTCCTCAGGTATTTACGCAGAAGCAGAAATGAGATCTTCCAGCATTTCAGCTTCAAGTGAAGGCAATGAGCATGACAGGTACAATGCTGGTGCATTGAGCTAATTCTGCTCCACACCGTTTGGCTTTAACAGTGGTCTTGGCAGCTACCCCACTCGACATCATGGTAAATACTCAATCGCGCAATTGTGACTCGTGTTAACAATACATCCAAACTCAACTGTATATTATGATTATTTAAGCTAAGACCCGGATCAAGCGAGCCTTCAGATACATCGGATGTTTTACTTGGAATAACCTCGTCAACCTCGTCCTTTCAGTGACCTCATCATGCGTCTCATGCACACGACGGGAGTCGTCACCCAGCTTTAAATACCAAACTTACTAAGAAATATTCTAGGGGGACTGGGGTCAAGAAATAAGCCACTGAAAACTCGGTGGCCCGGAAATCTGACCGGTCAGTCTTAGAATTTTCGCACCCTGCGAGCTGTTTGGGCCCGATTTCAGGCCGAAGCTTGGCGCAGAAATTTATGGGACTTCTCAGATCCCCTTCCTCTCCCCCCCTTCTTCATTCCCCTATTTCTCTACCAATACTCACTCAAATCTAGTGAACAATGGATTCTGAACGGGGAAATAGACGACGCGTCTGCCGAAAGTCTTATTCGATAGATCCTCCTTCTCCTGCACCCTTGCGAACGCCAAAAACGATGCTCGATACGCCGCGCCGTGCGCGCCTCCTTGCTGATGCACGCCACACAGCTGGCAAAATACCTCGTACAGAGCTATTTAAGATACGTAATGTACCTAAATCAACTGGCCATCGAATCATTAAAGAAGCAACTGCGCGCCGCAGTAAGAGGATACACAATCGAGGCCGAAAACAAGTACTTGCTCCACATGAGTGCGAAGCAATTGAGGCCGTTGAAGATGCTAATTTTGGCTTTGCTTCGTCAAGTCATTTGAAGGTGGCAAGGACAATTGGTATAACTAATGGCTGCGAACGTGTAATTCAACAGAATATAAAGGATTTTGGTGTAGGGACTTATATAGCTGCGCAGAAAAAAATGCTCTTACAATTACATATTGACGCCCGAATTATATAGGGATTTGAGCGTCGATATTAGTAATTGGATCAGTTTCTGAAGTATAGATGGTGCGATGAGTCTCATTTTGCTACTTGCTTACAAAGACAGGCTCGAATTCATCGTCGACCAGGGCTTGAAGCACGAAATGCCTTATCAAAGACCCAGTTCAAGCTTAAGCGTCAAAATCAGTCAGTCCATGTGTACGCAGTTATCGGATGGAATTCCAAGGGTCAGCTCCACTTCTACACCGGCTCCGGAGTAGGAGGACGTCTTATTCAGAGCGATTATATAACTATTTTAAAAGAAATCGTTGCTCCTGATTGGGATAAAGATTACATATTAATTGAAGATAATAACAGGCCTTATGGTACTAAGGGCAAGGATCCTAACAAGGTTAAAGCACTTAAGGACCTTCTAAGGATCAAATAGGAGATGAATCCTGCTAATTCGCCTGATCTCAACCCTATTGAGACAATCTGGAGAATAATAAAGCAGCGCTTGAAGTCCAGGGGGTCCATCTTCGAAGAAGCTGTTCTGCGCAGGGCTATCCAGGAGGAGTGGGATAAAATAACTCTGGATGAGATTAATAGGGCTATCTCAACAATGCCAGATAGAGTAGCTGCCCTAAATGAGCGAAGTGGGCGTCCTATCCCCTATTAAAGGGGCGTGTAGCATAGCAGAAATCTGAGAAGTCTCATAAATTTCTGCGCCAAGCTTCGGCCCAGGAAGAGCCCACTGCTCGTGTAAACTGGTTCTATCCCCTCCGTGCCCGATGCCTTAATTAGCGCGTTTGGTGAAATTTAAGCTCAAATAAGGTCGCTCACAGGACATCGTCTAACCAGCATTCAATGAATATATTATCAGACAAATCATTTGACAAGTGAGTTAAAGCTTTGCTCTTGAAGACACTTATTCCCGAATATCTATCAAAGGCGTTCGAGCAAGCAAAAGTTGTAGCAACATCGAAATAAGGAGATCGACGACGCTAATTGAGGCATTCTATACCCCTGTTCGGGCACGGAGGGGATAGTCTATGCCTGTCAATGGATAACAACTGGTGTTGCGATGGAGAGAATTGGAATTCATGTTTACAGATAGTCAGGGGCCACACAGATGCAGACTGCCCCATAGCCTTCTCGCACGACGACCCGTGACTAGCGTTGGCTTCAGGTAACAACACAGTAGTAGTACGGCTCTGGGATGGCGAGACAGGCGCGCTGCAGCAGACACTCGAAATTGGTTCTTCTCTCCATCAGCTGTCATTCATCTCTGATGAAATGCATCTCATTACAGCCTTAGGCGTTATTTTTCTTTACATCATTTTCCATTCCATCAGTTGCTACTCAAACGCCTATCTGGTCGGGATATCGTGTGCGTGCTGACAGTTTCTGGATCACCGCGAATGGTACTGATAGTCTCTGGATTCCTTTAAAAATATCGACCATGCGAAGCAGAGTCTAGCAAAACGGAAAGGATATCGCTCATCAAAGACAAAAATCACGACGTTTGAACAATCTCGGAGAGTCGGAGTTGGGTTCGGAGATTGACACCAGCGAACACTTCAAATGACGGACCTCGAACAGGCTTTTCGTGGGGAATCTTCGGTGGATAGAGCTTTCGCTCACGTGGTGTATTAACTTTTCCAACCCTTCACCCTCTACAAGACATGTGATCCCTTTCTTCGGGGATATTGAGTGCATGGGCTCTATAATGCCGGTTGGGAGCGCGAGGCGGCCTTGTTGTATTCAGTGTGTTGGTGACCAGGGTGAGCAGAGCCCATTAGACTTGGGTATTTGTGGAGACGGAGCTGCTGGGGGTTTCGAGAGAGGAGGAAGGCAAATCAGGGTTATGGGTGGAGGTCCGGGCGATTGCATTGCTATGGAGCGGAGACGGGAGACGAAGAGCAGGATGGTGTCTTTTGAAGGGAGGCCTCGAGGATATAAGCATATAATGGATGTAGAAGTGGGAGAGGGAAAGGAAAGAAGGGGAAGGGGTTGAGGCGAGTCTGCCAAGGGCTCTTGGGAAGGCATTCTAGAGCCGTTCACGATGTGATTTGATGTCCGGCCTGAGACATTCAGAGTGAAAGTCAACACTTATTGAACTGCATAGTTATTGAAACAAAAACCGCGGGCCCGTCTCTAAGTATTGAATCATGATAGCTTATAGCTTCTGTAGACTCTCCTCCTGCGCTTGTTCCGGATTACGAGTTTGAAGTCAGCGGAGTAAGGAAGAGCACCATCATTTCATGTCCTGCGTCAGATGCCCAATCCAGTGCCGTGCGCCCATCCTCATCCTCCGCGTTAATATCTGCCCCCCTCTTGAGCAGATACTGCGCCATATTCACACAACCCTCAGAAGCCGCGTGGTGCAGCGCAGTCCCTTCCCGACAGCCATGTTTTGTGTTGATGTCTGCTCCCTTTTCAAGTAATAACTCTGCTATCACTTCCTTCCCTGCTCTAGCAGCTATCGCCAGTATTCCCTCTTCATTCTCATTCTCCGCATTGATGTCTGCTCCCTTTTCAAGTAATAACTCTACTATCACTTCCTTCCCTGCTTTAACAGCTGTCGCTAGTACTCCCTTGCCATACTCTTTCACCGCATTAATGTCTGCTCCCTTTTCAAGTAATAACTCTACTATCACTTCCCTCCTCGCTCTAACAGCTGTCACTAGTGCTCCCTCTCCAACCTCGTCCTTCGCATTGATGTCTGCTCCCTTTTCAAGTAGGAGTCTTACTACTGCCTCACTTCCACAGTCCGCAGCTAGGTGGAGGGGGGTCATCTCTCCAACAAATTCATCTCCAAACCAATGCCTCGTATTGACGTCAGCCCCATGTTCAAGTAATAGCCGGACCGCTGCTTCATCATTATGCTCAGCCGCAATAGATAGGGCTGTCTCTCCAAAGATATCCCTTGCAGTGATATCAATCTCTTTCTCAAGAAGCAGCTGCACAACTTCCACTTCTGCTCGCTGATTCAAAGGGAGTCTCATGGCATAATGTAACGCCGTCTCGCCATCCTTAGTCTTCACGGATGTCTCCGCTCCATTTTCTAGTAGTAATTCGACTACCGGCTTTCGTGCCTTCTCAGTGATCTCTCTGACTCCACCAAGTATCATCCAGTCATCTGAATATTCTGTAGGATGACTTCTCATCGCGGAGATCAGCACTGAACGTCCAACTTCATCCTCCGCATTTGCACTGGCCCCCTTTTTCAGTAGCAGCCGCACCACCGGCTCATAATTTCCTTCTGCTGCCCAGTGTAATGCTGTCATTTTGCGATGATCCTCCGCAGTGATGTCGGCCCCATTCTCTAGTAGAAGCTGTACCACGGTCTCAACCCCTCGTGCTGCCGCCCAATGGAGAGCTGTTCTCCCTTCTTCATCTATTGCAGCGATATTAATTCCGTTCTCCATCAGCAGCTCCACTACCGCCCTATTCTCTCGCGCAATAGCCAGGTGCAGTAAGGAGTGTGCAGGCACACACACCATATTGATGTCGGCTCCTTTCTCCAGCAAAAATTGTATTGCTGTCTTATCTCCGCTGTCAACTGCACTCCGAAGTTGTGCTGTTGCCAGCCACTTCTCAGACTTTGACTGCTCACCAGTATGTTCCAATAACAATCTCACCACAGCCTCGTGATTAAATGCAACTGCTAAATACAGTGCACTTCTTCCATTTCCATCTTTCTCTTTAACCTCAGCTCCCTTCTCTAGCAGTAATCTCACCATTATCTTGTATCCCCACCCTGCTGCTTTATGTAATGCTGTGTCCCCTTCCCCATCTCTTGCATTGATATCTGCCCCTTTTTCAAGTAATAGTCGCACTATAACTTCATCTCCTCTCCGAGTCGCCTGATGCAATGCTCTGTTCCCTTTCTTATCTCTTGCATTGATGTCTGCCCCTTTCTCAAGCAATAGTCGCACTATAACTTCATCTCCTCTTTGAGCCGCCTGATGCAATGCTGCGTTCCCTTCCCAATCTCTTGCATTGGTGTCTGCCCCTTTCTCAAGCAAAAGTCGCATTATAGCTTCATGTTTTCTAAAGACCGCGTAATGCAAGGGCGGTGAATAGAGAAAACTCTTCGCTTCCTTCATGTCAACTTCTGCCCCATTCTCGAGCAACAACTTCACTACTGCCTCGTGCCCATTCTGAACTGCTATATGCAAAGCTGTTTGTTCGTGGAAATCTCTCTCGGCTGGATTGACCCCTTTCTCCAACAGCAATTGTACCATTGCCTCCTGTCCGCTCTGGGATGCCAAGTGCAGTGGCGTCATTCCTGAGTATTCCTTTGTATCTACGTCGATTCCCTCATCCAGCAACAACTGCACTATTTCTACTAGGCCGAAAGTTGCAACGGCGCACCATCTACTCGTCTTCGCGACGCTGTGGCCAGAGTAAAAATGTTGATATTTTACAAAATGCAAGACCTGGTTGCAGCAAATTACTGGTATAGGACGCCCAAGAAAGTTCCAAGTAAGATCTTTGACCGACTGTTCCATCGCGTCGCGAGTATGGTCGCCCCAGTATACGCCAACGTACCTAAGGAAGGGTACCTGTGCAACCGGCACTCCATTTCCTCTCTGGTGTGGCAGTAGCTTTCGGCGAATGCCTCAAATGATATATATGTAAGGCAAACTATTGCGATATTCCTTTGAGCATCCGGAAACTGGGTCCTTCGGATTCGTTCAAAGTATTCCTGAGTAGTATAGTGCACCAAACGGATTATGTTGCTTCCTTGCTCCACTGTGACCAAACCAGCGCACACGGAAACCAAAAGATCCTCGTCCGGAAAAGCGTCTTCGTCGAGGTCTGGATCTCCGGCTTGTACAGCCAGGGCGTGCTGGATTTGTGGAACAGTTAGCGGCGTGAAAACATATGATATCCAGTATAAGACTCGTTCAGCCAACCGGACATCTTCTTCATCCTGGCTCCGAACCCGCTGCAAAGCTTCATGGTATGTCTCGTCTAGCTCTCTTGGCAGTTTATCTAACGCATCGCGAACATCCCTGCGATTGTGTTTCTTTGCCAGAGAGTCCATATGTAGCTGGGCCAGCAGAAACCTGCAGAGACCGATTAGCATACCGCATATGATCCTGAGAGCTTATTACAGTACATACATTCCCTTGGCTTTCTGTACAACAGTGCTTGTAATGGACGACCCTAAGTCGGGAGCAGCATTGACGTGGCGCTTCAATCGGACTTCACTGTTAATCCGGCCTTCGACATATCTTCTAACGTCTTCGTCAGTCGCACGGATTTCCAGGCGTGAAGCCGTCTCAAACTCTCTCTCGATGGATGAGATATGCCTCGACGTAACTAAGAGGTGTGTACTTTGTTCCAGTTTTCGGATCTCGGCCAGAAAGTTATCTCGAATGCCCTTACTTTCAGGGCACTCATCGAGAGCATCGATAATGATGAAAACCCCTGAAAGGCGGCTGACTTCTGATTGGATCAACTTGGACCATTCACCAACTGTAGGACGAGTCCCCTCTTCCCTATGCTGGTTGCAGAGTGATCGGATTTCGTCAGATATTGGATGATTTCTCCGAATCAACTGCTGGAACAGGCTTGCAATGAGATTAGGGGCTGTTTGATCCTCCTGTTCTTTATAGTTGCAATAGATGTATGCTATAGCGACATTCTCTCGTTCAAAGCGCTGATTGAGGTAGTCTACGACAATTGATCTGCCAAAAGCCTACCAGTTAGTGCTGGAATAGATATACTTTTGGGGTAGTGTTTATACGCGAGAATAGTCTTGCCGGCGCCCGCTTGCAGCTTGTTAGCATCAAGCAGCAGTGAGAGAAGTTTTCAAGGAAGTAATCATACGGAGCCCAGGACACCACAGAACTCCCCGGTCCGCATGTAACCACTTCTGGAATGAGCCGTCTCCCAATAGCCATTCCCCTGTTCCTTCCTGGCGTCGACTGAAAAAGTCATTCTGTTTGCTGGAAAAGTTTAGACTTGATATCCAGGCCATGATCTCCTTGTACTCAAGGTCTAGAGAGCATTCTTAGCATCTGGGAAAGTGTAAACAGGACGGATTGCGTGCTACTTTACCTTCATGTCTTTGTTTCAGCTTGGTGATGCCCTTTTTACTCTCGAGCATGTGGTCTTTCACATCGGTGAGATCGTCTTTGATTGCCAGAGACAATTTACTGGAAGCCATTAATTGATGCACAGTCGGGCAGACTTGAAAGCTTACAATTGATCATCCTGTAGAGCAAAACCGACCAGCGTCTTTAGTCGCTCGATTTTGGACAGTACGTGATGAATGTCATTCTTATCAAGGGTCCAAACCAGTGTCTTTCCAAGCTTTCTCAGTCCGCTCTCGGGTTTCAGTTTCATTGCCAGCTTCTCCATGGCCTCTTGAAATTGCGTCAATGGTCCCCCTTCTGAACCGAGCGAACGAACTCCAGTGAACCAGGGCTCCGTCGACTTCGCCTCTTCTACCCTGTATCTCAAATCCGTAAGAAGCGCTAATTGATTGGTAGCCTCCCGGGCAAGCATCGCCCGATCCTTAGGAGCATCCTTTACATCGTTGAGGTATTTGATAGCCTTCTGAGTAGCATTAATGATCGGGATGATGCTGGCAATTAAGCCGACCACAGTGACAGGCTCCATGGTGGCGAGTAGTGAACGGAGTTAGGAAAGCGAGTTGAGGCCAGGCGCTGAACTCTTCAACTCCCAAAATAGATCAGCCGGAGGATGATATCAAGTGATGGCAGCGTACAGCCCTCGATTAGGCGGTTCGCCGTGTCGGAGAGTTATGAGACGCCTGAACAAGAGATAAGTCAATCTCAGGAAGTAGTAAGGATTCACACGTTCAGGCAGGGAATTCTCCTGGCCTTCATAACCGTGCGCAGGGTACGCGCTTGGCACGCGCTTGGCGCGCTTCACAGGATGCCCCTCTCTATAGCCTTTCGCCCTCGAAAGGCCCTTGAAATTCGTTTGGATTGTGTGTGAATTCTGCGTGCGAATTCTGTGGAGGGTTTTGCGTAGAATTTTGCTGAGGATTCTGCGGATTCTGCGGATTCTACAGATTCTGGGTCTCTAGGTACTAGGTTGTGTGTGACTGTGATTCTGACGAATCGTACTGCACAGGTTCTGGGTTCTGGGTTCCGGGTTCTGGGTTCTGGATTCTAGATCTCTAGATACTTGGCTACACGACTGCAATTCTTGCGAGTTATATTACGCGGAATCAGAGGCAGCGACAGCATCTGCATAAAAATAAGGCTGTATAACTATGACTCTTAAACAGATAACCGAGTACTAGCGTACATGATTCATCACGCCGGTCACGTTGCACGTCCTGATGTGAACTGTGCAGCCCCCTTCGCACAGTCTCTATGGTCGAGCTTTCCGTACCCTCGGCCGTCCAGTTGATACGCCCTTACAATGTGTCAACCTGCTGTGCAGAGTACGTACAGAAGCAAGTTGATTGATAGATAGGGGGTAGAGAGCGTAGAACTAAGTACAATGGGCTTTACTCCGTACCGTAAAGCGAAATTAGAAGCGAAATCTGCGGTGTAAATTGACCAACAGAAAGCAGGCAAAGCGCAGGGATTACGCGTATGAAACGCGGCCAATGGGCCCTCTCAGAAGATCAACAATATGATATCAAGGTGCCATAAAGCAATACCAAAATGGAGGAAGCAGAGACAGCCGCACAGAGTTTTATTCTGTAGCAAGGGCGGGCCATGGCCATTGATGTCGAATTCCCAAAGATGTGTCGCCAATCTGCCTGGCTAGAGGAAAAGCTGCAAAAGACACCGCCATGGCTACGACAAAAGCGCTCACCAAATAGCCTAAATAAGGTTTCTACATTCCATTGGCATCTGTAACTGCTTAACATCTCGTCTGCATCCACTGAAGCAGCTTCTTAAGGAATCAAAAGACACAGCATCCTATAAAGCATTAACAGCCGCTTGTAGCTTGTCAGGCTTATCAGTATCTATGCAGAATTAGCAGAATGCGTATGGAGTAGAATGAGCAGAATTTGCAGGATGAGCAAAATTCGTGCAAAATAGTGATAGGGATGCTTAACAGTGTGGGGCATGTAAAAAACATGGTTGTAAGATATTTGGGTATGTAGGATATTTTGACCCGGGGGGGTGTAGCGGTAGTAGTCGAGGACGGGCCGGAGTGGGCACATTTTTGGAAAGAGGTTAGCACCCTTTCGGCTAGGCGATCCCACCCGGCTTCCCTGGGCTGCGCGGGTACCTGGTGCGACTTGCGCGACTTGCTCCCCGTATGAAAAAGGAAGCTCTCCTCTCCTCTCCTCTCCTTCCCTCTCCTCTCCTCCCCTCCCCTCCCCCATGCCTGTCTTGCTGCTTGAGTGTTGCAATCATTCTCTAAGTGCAACTCTCTCCTTCCACTGAGCGGTGTAGCGGTGACGTCAGCCTGTTTGCACTTTTCCTCTGAAACAAAGCCCCCCCCATATTGCCCGCAGCAACAGCCACCGTCAGCATGGATATTGTCCTTGAGTTCTTTGAAACCTTCGCCTTCGATGCAATGTGGGCGACGCTTCTCCCCGCCAAAACAGCCCGCATATGCCTTCAATGCGACCTCGGGCGTCTGCGAGATTCCCACCGCCCTCCCACCGACAACCTGGCAATTTGTGCCCGCGAGCGATTATCTTTCCTTCACGCCGCGCAAGTATGCATGCATGAGCCAGTGGCCGCGGGACGACTGGCGCCGGCAGCTCGTCACGCTGTTCCTCATCTCATGGTGCGTCGCGCATGTTCTGCATCCCCACCCGTCCAGGAACACTTCTAACACCTGGGCCAGGCTCTTCGCCATCATCCTCTACTTCGTCTTCGCCACCCTGTCCTACGTCTTCGTCTTCGATAAAGCTACCTTAAAACACCCCAAGTACCTGAAAAACCAGATCCGCCTCGAGATCAGGCAGGCCAGCATCGCTTTCCCCGTCATAGCTGTACTTACTGCTCCTCTCTTCCTCCTCGAGGTCCGCGGATACTCCAAGCTGTACGATACAACTGCCGAAGGACCGGGCTTGTGGTACAACTTCCTTCAGTTCCCCTTATTTCTCTGCTTCACGGACTACTGCTTCACGGACTACTGCATCTACTGGATCCACCGATACCTGCACCACCCGTTGATCTACAGACGCCTGCATAAGCCGCACCACAAGTGGATTATGCCAACTCCATATGCCTCCCACGCCTTCCATCCCCTGGATGGTTTCGCTCAGGGCTTTCCGTACCACATGTTTCCCTTTATCTTCCCACTTCAGAAGTTTGCCTATGTCGTCCTCTTCATCTTCATCAATTTCTGGACCATCATGATCCATGATGGCGAATACATCGCGGACAACCCCATCATCAATGGCGCTGCTTGCCATACGATGCATCATCTTTACTTCCACTTCAACTATGGGCAATTCACCACGCTATGGGACCGCTTGGGCGGAAGCTACAGGAAGCCAAATGACGAGCTGTTCCGCAAGGAGCTCAAGATGTGCCAGACGGAGTGGAGCAAGCAGGTCAAGGAGACGGAGAAGGTCGTCAAGGAAATAGAAGCTGAGTATGATCGGACATATCGGGGCGACGAGCCAAAGAAGGTTCGCTGAAATGGGCACGTAAAGATTCACGCGGGGCGGATGACCTGGGACGTCCAAAGGAGATGGGTTCAAGGTACGAGGACGGGCTCCGAGGGGGCGCACAGGCTCTTGATTACTGAACGATCACAGGAGAGGACAAGAAGCGTGTGATATCCCCTTGGCTGCCTTCACGGCACAGGCTTCTGGAGATGGTGGCCGCATTCAGTGTGCGCCCAGTGTAGATGTCTTTGTAATATCAGTCACAAAGCAGCCTGGGTAATGGCAGGGGATCCTGACGAGGGGCACTAACATTCTCTACCTGGTAGCTTCCCCACTCCGCCTATCAATGATCCTGCTTCGATCGCCTCCGAAGCTTGAAGGGAATCGGGTTCTTCGGTCGCAAAGTCCCCAGCCCAAACTTCGCATACCTAGCTCATTTCAATATCCCCAGTTAAAATCTCCATGTCAAAATTCTCCACCATCAAAGCACACGCAAGAAGAATCGCGCTCTTGGCCAGAAACCGACCAGGGCAAATCGCATGCTCGCCTGTCATCGCGTGAGCCATTGCCTCTGTCGAACAAAAAAGGATCATGATAGCTTACCTCCATACGGGATCCACGACCCCTCAAGTCCATTCATCGAGACAAAAGGCTTGTCGTTTTCCGACGCTTCGCTCTTTTTCTTCTCACTCCCCACCTCGTGCATTACTTCAGGCCTGACTGGTCCACTGAAAGGATCCGACGGATCAACGATGAACCGCTCACCCCAGTTTGAATCCACGGGATGACGACCGTTTTGCGTATTCCAGAAATGGTCGTCCATGTGCGAAATCCCCGAATTCACAAAAACAATGCGCTCTTTCGGGATCCGCCATTGACCGACCGGGATGTCGGCGTGCTGGTTGGAAGTCAGGAAGTATGACTTCACGTACACGCGGAGGGTTTCGCAGTATATGGAGACGAGGAGGGGGTTATTTGCCAGGACTTTGTCGTCGGGGTGCTCGGATACTTTGGTGTTTGTTCGAGGCTGGTGCGGACGCGGGCGAGGAGGGATGGGTCTTTGAAGGTGTGCAGTGTGGCCATCATGGACGACGGAACGATGTTGGACACGGACGCCCAGATTAGGCCGAGGTCGGCTGAGGCTAGGGAGTCGTCGTCCTGGTTGTCGACGGCGAGTAAGGTGGTTGGCCGGGCCTTCATGAGACCTGACCCCCAGTAGGGATCGAATTCGCCGTCGGCGTCGAGACATGATGTGCTGTGGTGCCTTCGCCCATGGATTTAATATTTCTTCAGTCCATCGAGCAAGCTCCTTCTAACTTGAGCAAATCCAGGGACGAGGAAATCGGGAATGCCCTTTGCGAGCTTGGGTAAGAACTTATCGAACTTCCAGAAGTCGTCGCAGAAGTTGGGGTTCAGGTCGAACAGGGCCGGACCAGCCAGGGACTCCATAATCGAGGTGCCAACCAGCTCTTGGAAGAATTTCATCAGGTCTGGGTATTCAACCCAGTCATGCCCGACCGGGGTGTTATCCATCCGTCCAACGATGGCTTCGGCCGTGCGCTTTGTCAACGGCTTCAGTCCCGCACCAGTCAGCCCTTTCAGGATCTCATGGTGCGTGATCCAATCGACACGGTTCCGTGGCTCGACCTGGCTTCCCCGGAATGGTTTGTGGAAGGGTCCGGAATCATCCTTGTTATATACGGAGAGGGCTTCCTTCTTCATGCCAAAGAAGTACTTCAGGACTAGGATGTACGGCTCGATGGGACTCGAGAGCGAATTTTGTTTCCACAGTGCAGCGACGCTGTGCCGGTCTTGGATGAAGTAGAGTTCTCTGCCAAGGAAGCGGACGCGACAGGATGTGAGCTTGCCGCGGAACGTCCTGGGTGCGTCTCACTCGTCAGTCACCGAGTCGGAAGTGGTTTGGAAAGGGGCCTTTTCCTTACGTGGCTCGGTCGAGGAAGCTCTGGCCGTTGAAGAGAACCGTGACCGCGCCGCCGATCCACGGAATGAACGATGGGTATCTTGGTGGGGGTTGGCCGGGCTTCCCATGTGTGCGAGTCCAGTAGTGTAGGGCCCATGAAAGAGCATAGTTGAAAATGAGGGAGAAGAATGTCAGGGCTACTAGTAGTGCTGTTGTTGCTTTGACATTGTCTAGCAAAGGTGATAGTGCTAACTTCTCGAGTGGACGAAAGCTGAATTCTTTGCCAATGAGGAGAGAAGACATGATGGGTACACAGCAGAACAGTGCCTGTGATACTGCTACATCCATATGCTTTTGTAGCTATTACATGCGAAAACAAGAAAGCCTACTTTACACGCCGCTGCTCCGTCGAATGATCTCACAGCTCTCCATCGGTACGCTTCCGGTATCTGGATGCCTAGGAACAGACTCGAAATCTCAGAAGTGTCAACTATCTCTATTTGAGACCGTTCAAGTCATTAGAGCTAAATCGACCGAAGAAGAGTAAAAAGAGATCAAAGAATATAGTCACAAACTGCGCAGACACGAATGGAGAGGGTTGAGAGCTCGCAAACGGGTACAGCTTCACAGCCAATTGACGTTGACGAGGAGTTCAATGCCGGGGAAGACCCTCTCGAAATCGAGCGACAGCGTCGACGACAGCCTCCTTCATCAGCATCAACGTCCTTGGCTGGCTGGGCTGGCTGGCTGGTGCTTTTTATACTTATTCTAGCACTAGTTATAATAATAATCTTATTTAAGAGAGCTCGTGATGATTTACATTACATAGATAGATAGGGTGAATGTTGATTAGGTTTTGTTGATGAAATATTATTCCTCCGGCCCAAGGGTAGGGAGGGTTGGTTCGGCTTCTTGCTCCGTCGACCTATGCAACCACTTGGTACAGTATATCATGACCACCAATCCTTCACCCTGCCCATCTCCACCTCTTCTCCCCCGTCGAACTGCCACCCACCACCACCATCTTCATCTCCCACCCCATCCAAACCGTGGTTCCCAACCCCACCCCCCTCGAGTCCCATCTCCATCCCCATCCCGCCACTTATCCCCCTCCTCACCTCCCCTTCCCACTCCTTCAGTGCCCTCAACTCCCACCCCCCAAACAACAGGCCGATCAACCCGTCCACCGTCCCGGCCATCAGCCCCAGACTACTCAACACCAGCAAGATACAAGACACGTAGTTTGCAGGTGAGAACCGGACGGCGACGAAGCAGGACAGGGTGATGACGATGGAGGCGAGGAAGTGGATGCAGCGGCGGCGGCGGAGGAGGGTTAGAATTTTGGGGATGTCGAGGGGATAAGAGGAGAGGGTTTTGTCGATGGGAGTGATGGTGTTTCCGTTCTGCTCATCTCTAATTCTCCCTGGTGTAGTAGTCCACGCAATCTCGGTCTCGACAGCAAAATGGTCACTCAGACTGCATTTCAGGTCTGGATGTCGCTCCGTCATGCGGATGCTTGCTTCTTTGACTGTCCACTCTCCATTCCCATCCCTACTTCCAACCCTACCCCGAGGGTTGCTACCATCACCAAAGAAGACATAATCCAGCCTCTTCGCCCTCGGATCCTCCTCGTGCAAACCAACAACCCTGTCAATCCCCTTCTTCAGCAGATCCCGCTGAGCCCGCTTCTCCCACCTCCATGTATTAAACACCGAATCACATGTATGACCATGCTTCAGCAAAGTCTCCTCTACCGTCGGCGGCCCCGTCCTACTCTTCCCCAGTCCCCCTTTCCCGCTCAGCTCCCTCAGTCTTTCCCGCTCACGCTCCTCAATCCAAGCACCCCAGCTACTATCCGGAAACCTCTCTTGCCAAACATCGCGCATCAGCCCTCTCGTCTGATGCTGAATAACAGCACACTCGATCCCGCCAGGCGACATGTTGAAATCCCCACACGCTACAACCAGATTCCCGCGTTCCAGTGCATGCCGCATCATCCGCGCGATCTGCCACGCCTGGGCCACGCGATGCACAGAATACGTGTCCTTTCCCTCCTTCCCCTCATTATACGGCGCATGGAGGTGCGTGTTGAAGACCTCGAGATACCTGGCCTGAGCAGCGTCATCATCCCTCCGGCAGAACTTTCTCGGTAGAGCGATCCGTGCGACGGCAACGCCCTTCCCGACGAACCAATCTCCCCTCCAGAACGCACTGGGTCTTCCATTCAGCGCGTAGGGAACCATTTCGGTTTCAACGATGCGCCATTTGGAGAGGATGACTAGTCCGCCGCCGAAACAGCCCGAGTGGTAGAATTTACCGTGGCGATATCGAGGGGAGAGGAGGCGGCGGAGGAGGGCGTAGTTGGGGTAGGTCCAGCATTCTTGGAGGCAGATTATGTCTGGGGGGTTGGGGGAAGTGGCGATGAGGTGGGCGATGTGAGTGAGACGTTCGGGTCGGTAAGGAGAGATGTGTTTAAGGGCCCAGATGTTGTGGGTGAGGATCCTGATTCTGGGCTGCAGGTCTTCACTTGGAATAGAAGGAGGGTTTTGTTCATGTTGGTCTTGCTGCTTGGTTTTCCGTGCCTGAGGGAGAGATTGCATGGATATCGACATGCCGTTTTCATTTCCGTTTCCCTTTCTAGTTTCGTGGCTGCTATCGTTTTGATAAGTCGACGTGCTTCTGTTGTGGTTTTTCGGCTGAGTAGTAGCGATAGGAGCCATGATAATCAGCCGCTTTCTCTCTTTCTCTGCCTGTCTCACAGATGCTCAACTAGTCTATCGGAGATCCCAGGCTCAAATCTCTTGTTCTGTTTCTGGATCAATATGGGAGCCTTTTCTTCGGCCTTTTTATACGAATATGCACATCCGCGGCGAAAGACGACAAGACCAAGAAGGGTGCATATGAAGAAGCGCCCAGCTGTATCTCATATTATGCAGACCTGTCCTCACAACTTAAAGGTTGGCTCGATGTGATACTTCTCCGTCGTTGCAGGAATTTTGACATGCCGAGAGAGTGGGCGCGTTGTACATCATGCCGTGGAGACGTGTCTCTATCGGCGTAGGGACGAAGACGAAGATCTAAAACAACAACTGCTCGTCGGGTTGCTTTATAGTCCATAAGAGAATGAGAATGCAACTGGCCCGACTCCTCGTTGCAGCTGCAAGTTATTTCACACGGTTCAAGCACCCCACCAGAACGTCGACTGCTATACAAGTCCCGTCCGGTTAAATACTGTTGAACTCAAAAATACAGTTCGCGCTATTTTGCTACGTGTGTCACCAGCGTTTTGTTACAAAACTGATACGCGTTTTCCTTGGCCCCGCATGTATTTTTGGTATGTACGTTTCGCGCTATTTCGCTTGGTATAGCAGCTTTGGACGTATAAATGCGCTCTCTTTTCGCACCGAATAGATAGAACAACTTACTATTTTACACACTATCCATCGATTAGTCAGCACAGTCCATCAAATACTTATACTTATCTCAGATTTACTCTCACCTTCCACCACAACTACGGACCAAATGGTCCAGCCTTGGCTACGCTATTTATTACCTTATGATATTCTCTACATATGAATGAAACAAGCCCACTATGTGCCGTCTGTGCTGACATTCTGCACTGCCAGAATCTGTGTCATGTTTCGCCGGGTGTGTTCGTGCGACATCATCTCGACATGAAAAGCTTGACGGAGGCGGTACGTTCAAAATGCTACATCTGTACCATTGTCTGGGATTGCCATTTCACAGACAAGAAAGCTGCTAGCCGGACAAAGTTGAGGGGTATGGGTTGGAGCTGGCAAGGAGAAGAGCCTGAGGAAGGAGTTGTCTGCTTCTCGATTAATATATTCCCGAAGGCTGATGCTAATTACGCATCGAAACAAGTCACCTTCCGCCTGGTGGACTGTGAAGGTAATCGATTCCATTGACTCTTTTCCTCTTGCACCCGACATGTTGAACCTGGTCACAGAGTCCAAATTCCGGCGGCATTTTTCATACAGGAATCTGCCACCGGCTACATCATCCCTATCCAGCCTTGGTGTTGCCTACAGCTGGTATCTTGCATGCCGCGCTATGCACAAGGCCTGTCGTCGGCTTCAAAGGGGTTCGAATTGGTATCCTACAAGACTCCTTGACGTTGGAGTGCCAGGAGATCTGAAATGGAAGCTCCACATATGTGCTGAGGACGACCTGTTCTCTCCAAATTATATGACTATAAGCTACCGTTGGGGAAGCCTTCCGAGCCTAACGCTTGTGCAGTCGAACATCAACGAATTAAGAAGAGGGAAATTGACAGAAGAGCTACCCCAAACGTTCCGTGATGCCATTATCGTGTTACATCGATTTTCAATACGATACCTCTGGATTGACAGTCTCTGCATCATACAAGATTCGCTAGAAGATTGGGAAAAGGAGTCTTCAATGATGCGTGACGTCTATGCAAACTCTTGCTGTAACATCTCTGCCACAGCTTCTTCAGAGCCCTTGGGTGGTCTCTTCCGGAACCATCAGAAGGGCCCTATACAGCCTGGAGTAGTAGCCATGAATATTGGTCCTGTTCAAAAGAAATACTACATCCTCGATAGCTCATACTGGGACCGTCAAGTGTTAAACACGGTTCTCAATCAACGAGGTTGGGTATTTCAAGAAAGACTTTTGGCTCCTAGAGTCCTTCATTTTGCAAGTCATCAGATACTTTTTGAATGCTTTTCTGATCAAAAGTGTGAGGCTTTTGTTCAAGGAATACCATGGCAAAATTCTCTTAAATCATTCGAGGCGATCTTTATCCCAACCCCGCAGGAACAAAACATCATGTCCGATGCAGCGTTCGACTTGTGGATCAATCTGGTCGAATTGTACACTAGGTGCGACTTGACAAAACCTGACGACAGGTTGGCTGCATTTTCCGGACTGGCACATCTGTTTCAGGATACTAACGGTGATGACTATCTCAGTGGCATATGGAGATCACGACTCTTGGAGTCTTTATATTGGGAAGCTGAACGACCCATGAGAAGGGCTCTAGGCGTTTATATCGCCCCGTCGTGGTCCTGGGCCTGTGGGAATGGCCCTATAAAGTGGAACCGGCCTCAACGAGGGTATACGCGATTGAGCTCGGTGCTTGATGCTCGCACTCAAAACGCCTCGTCTGATTGCACTGGCCGAGTGGTGGGTGGTTCCATTAGGGTACGAGGGCTCTTGTTGCGGGCGACTTGTGAAGACTCTGTCACTCGAGGACGGCCATGCGTGCTAGCGTTAAAGTCAAAGCCTACTCTTACCAATAACAGGGCAACCTTTACAAACGAGACAGAGCCACCGCTCCCGGCTTTAGTGCATTTCAGCAACGACTCGCCATACGTCATATCAACTTTGAATGAAGACTTCGAGGACACCAATTATGGTGGTGACGAGGACATTTATTGTCTAGTATTGCACGCTCAATCGGTGATCTGGGAGGAATCCTTTTCCGACACGTTCCTAGAGGGAGTGATCCTCAAGCCTGTTTCGCCGTCCTCCTCCGAGAGCTTTGTCCGGACAGGAACCTTCCGGATCCGCGGACGAGAATGTGCAGAGAAGTCTGGTGTTCGCATCAATATAAAAGATGGCTCAGCTTGCTTGAGTGAAACAAGTCAGCTGACAGAGATCACGATTGTCTAAGGCAGGAAAATCCTGGACTCCGTCTCGTTCTGGGGCGTCATAGAAAAGCCGTGGAGCAGATATCCTCTCCCTCGGATTTCGGGTAATGGGCACAGTTTGTTGAACACACTTCCTCATACTCCAGTAGCCTGGCTATGGATATCCTGTCTCACGGGAATGGTTCCTCATTCGGGGTGGCGAGAAATGGTAGTGATTCGCATTGCCGCATGCCGCGACAAAGTAGCAACAGGATCTGACATTAGAAAATTCACCAACCCGGTCTGCCCCTGAAGCCCTTGTCACACAAGACTCTCTTTTCTTTTTATTAGGAACCCCAACACGGAGAAGCCCTTGCCAAATTGGCTCCGCACAATACGTTGACCAATCTAAGCCTTCGTGACCTCCCTCATCCAGACCCCAACCACGGCATCTGCTCAACTTCCGACTTAGCACTCAAAAGATCGATGTTTCCGCCAATAGAACAGTGCTGGGTACTCAAATACGGAGGGAGCTGTCTGGCTACGTTTCTAAACAATCAAAGAAAGCAAGATGTTCATTTCTTGTCATCAAAAATCGTTCTTGAACGCACTATAGCTGTCTCATGGTTCTCTTTCTTGGGGGAAAGCATTCCGGCTGGACTCGAGGCGCTCTCGCACGATCAACGCTCTGCTATCCCGCCATCTTCCTACCGGGACCATGAGCGCTCCCTATATCCCCCAGATCTACGTGACTTAACCTCTGGGCAGATTCCGTTGAGCGCCTGGTCAATGATCTGATATCCAGCTTCCCCTTCGCACGCGCACTGCATCAGCTGCACAACCATCCTCGCCTTCAGGGCTTCCACCGAGCATCCTTTCGCCCATTGCTGACCAATCGGACGCTGATTTCGATTCTCCATTCTCCGTTTTTAAGTCCATATAAAACTCATCACACCCAAAAACAACGAGTCGTTCAAGGACCGACCAAGAGCGTCAGAGGATCGCTTGTCGATTGTGGGGTTTTACTTTTTGTCGCTGCTGTACGGGCCTCCTTTTGCGGTTTAGAAGTCCAATCAAACTCTACCTCTACCAGTCGTGATCATTCAGGCTGTATTTCCCCGATCGAGTCTCCCTGCATGAGATATTCCTCAACATGCTCTGATAACACTGATCCACATTGTTGCGGTAGCACCTTCTCGGTATTATACGTCCCGAACGCCTTCGTTGGTCCCCACCATCTTCTCGACCGAGCCCCAAGAAACCAACCATGCCCACCGAAGATATATAACCGCAGCAACCCAGAACCCACCCAAATTGGGCGAAAAAGTCTTGAGATCCGGTATTTAACTGCGGTCCAGAACTGCAGTGCCAGAAACCCACCTGACTAGGCCCTTCCCCACTGCTTGCATCCCGTATAAGGCCGGATGTGCAGGGCACGTCACCGGAAGGGACAGAACTTGTCACTTTACTCATTTGCGCTGATCCCCACTCTCAATCACGCGCGGGCTTTCCTGGTCAGAATCCGGCTGAGCTTCTTCGCCTGGTTAGAATCGTTTGGATGGGCACAGAGCTGTAGACAGATTTCCAGATATTCTACCCGCCCTTTCTCTTTCGGAGCCCATCACTGAACATAAGTAGAAGCGGAGAACGTGGATCATACGGCCAGCTAGCGTGAATAGCAGAAATTGCCGACCTGCATCGAGCGGCTGGGCTCTGAGAAGGAGAAAAAAGAGTTATTCGCGGGTTTTCCAGAGTCACGGGGGGTGGGAGGGGGTATTTGTAGCAATCCTATCATGGATTTGTCTTGTGATGGGGAAAAAAGAGCATCTAAGTTGCTACATCAACACTTCTAGCCACTCTCTCAGCTTGATGGTGGAGGGGGGCCCCTGGAAATTTCACTGAAATCCGCTGCTACAGGAAAGGTCACAGCAGACGAGGGCAAAAATGGGAGGGAGGCATTGGCACAAGCACAAGTCCAGATGGAAGACCAGCTCTTTGCTCTTTCCGGAAAGGACGCCTCGCAACTTGCATACCCTTTTTTTTGGGCAGAAGTGTTCATCTACTATACTTGAAGAACCAGCCAGATACTCCAAGGCCTCATCTCCCAAACGCCACCAACTCCTCGCCTTACCCTTTTCCCTATGAGATCTGTTTTTACCTCTCACGTCCGAACCCAAGATCCCCAGCATTAAATTTCAGAGTCCCCGTATTTTTGAGCCCCGCCACTGATAGATAGATTATGAAAGGAAACAGCCAGGCGCCAACAAACTAAGCCAAGAGTATGGAAGCTACAGAAAGCCGGATATTCCAATAAAACTCGAGAACCGAACTCGCGTGAGAAAGGGGCCAATCACATCGGTCTCCTGCCGACCTGCAACAGACTCGGCGGTCCGGCCTGGCGACTCGAGCTCCCCTCATCCGCTGCGTACGCGTTGTAAGTCGGTGCGAAGGGACTCGAGCGGGGGAAGGAAGTCGAGCCCGCGGTGGCGGCCTGGAAGTGGTCGAATCGTGGTTGAGGCGGCGGTGGTGGTGGGTCGTAAGCGGTATTCTGCGGCATCAGCGTCTGGGCGCCGAGATCTGAACCGTAGGGATGGGTCGAGTTGGCGCCGCGGTAACTCCCCGGCTGGTCGAGAGAATCGTCGTGATGTGGCAACTCACGGTATCCGCCTCTGCTTGTCCGTCCTGCCGCTGCCGCTACTGGAATAACGCCCGGTGCCTGACCAGGCTGAGCGATATCGCCCATCTCGACGTCGCCGCCATAGGGGTTGGAGTTCTCCACCTTGGCATCCGCCCACGTGGGCATCGCCGGCAGGGAATCCCCATTGATCTTCTGCCCCGGCACGTCGAACGTCGCCGTGTTGGGACCGTTGTAGGCGGGCGGGCCATAATTCGGCGTGTAGCCGCCCGTGTACGGGTTCGCGGCCGCGATAGCTCGAGGGCGGCGGCGCATCCACATCCGCGTACTTGGACCGTTTCCGCGCGCGGCCGCTCGGACAGCAGCGGTTGAAGGAGGAGAAGCAGCCGCAGCAGCAGGACAGCCCGCAGCAGCAGCATCGCACGCAGCACCAGAGCACCGACACGGCGATCATCACCGCCACGATGATGCCGATGATGGCCGGCCACTTGCAGTACGCCTTTTGCATGCAGCTGTCCCAGCTCGAGAAGGTCTGCGGCGCATTTTGGATCTCGTTGATCGTGGTGGACATGATGACCTCGGCCTGGCTTTTCCTGCTGTACGCTGCCCGAATGGGGGGTAGAGCGAGGGGATGGGAAGGGTAGGGTAAGATAGGATAGGATCAACGCGGTTGGTTTAGTCGCAGCGAGAGTGGTAGCAGAACATGTGCATGTGCCTGGACGATCTCTGCGAATCTCAGGGGAGGGGCCCGTAAGCAGTAGCCAGCAGTGAACGAAGAAGGTAAACTATCTCGAGAGGTGAGATGTAAACTCCTCGGGCAATGGATCCCAAACGTGAGGTTTTTTTTGCCCGAGAGGGGGTAATCAATGTGTGGAAAACCGGCCTGCGGTCGAAAGCTTTACGTATCTCCTGGAATTGGATTTGTTCGAAATGCCCCCACCGTGTGAGAGCTCTGAAAGTCAGTGAGTGAGTGAGTATTCTGTACCAGACAATGCCAATGCGAATGCCAATGCGAATGTGACAAAACAAAAACGAGATAGAAGCAAGGGCGAACAGTCAGTCGTGCTGGGTTGCAGAGATTGTTCTCCCCCCCCCCTTATCCCGATCGCCAGGGGTCGAAACGCCGTTGAAAACGGGCGCAAGCGCCAAGAGGCGTCGCAAATTCGATTCAAGAGTTGAACTTGGTCTGACTACGTACTATGTAAGGGGCGGCTGGAAACGTGGAGAATGTGATTTATCCTTGCTTCATACGGCCCATGTTTCACAGTCATATTAGGTATCCTTCATATCTTCTAGGCTGGAAGCTGGGAAAACCGTACAAAGATAGGCCTTTTCATCGCAAAAGTATTACTAGCAGCGTGTATTAAGCACTGTCAAGGGTAAAAATTCTGTTGAATTCGCCAGAAACGCCACAAAACGTCATGGGAGGAGGAGGACGAGGAGGAAAAACCCCGTGCGAAAGTCTTGAGCCGTCCTTAATGGTACAATTAGGTATACTGCTTGGTATTGCGCCGCTTTTTTCGCAAAGAGAACACCCACGCGGCCCACTCACTTCGCAGTTCCCCATCTGTGGCCTCGTCCATAACTATCTCACTATCCCATCTTTACCGGGCGGAGGTCCAGCCGGGGGCTCGTAGACTTGATCACCGGCGCGGTAAGCATTCGATGGCGGCTGAAGCTCTGTGGCGCCAGTTTGCTGACCACCATAATAGCCTTGGTTTCCTCCGTATCCCCCTTGATTCTGGTTGTAGTAGCCTCCCTCCTGTCCCTGTCCATACGCAGGGGCTGGCTGGTTGCCGTACTGAGGTTGTTGCTGCGTCTGGTTCTGGTACTGCGGATTGTACGTTGCAGCGCCGTGACCGGCGGGGGTGTTGCCGACCCATCCGGTGCCGTAGAATGGCTGCAGGCCTCTCTTGCGACGCCGTCGTGCGGAAAGGCAGCTGGGGGGATCAAGGGTTAGCGAGAGTCAGAGACGAGATGAGATGAGATCGAGTGGAATGGCACGTACCTAAACAGGAAGAAGAACAGGATGAACGAGATGACAATCACGGCAAAGAGAACCCATCTTCCCCAGGTATTCCATGCGCGATTACAGGTGTAGACACGGCCATAGCGATCATAGCATCTTGCCATTGCGATGGGGACAGAGGGTAAGGACCCTGTGGCGTTGCCAATCTCTCGAAATGAGCTGTTACGAGGTTCGGAGCGAACTAATCAGGCGTTCAGTTTAGAGTAATGGCCTCAGAAAGACAGCCGGAATGGTGATGAGGATAGGAAGAAGGTAGAAAAGGCAAAGGCAAAGCCTGTTATGTGGCTCACACTGCAATACTACGTATGTTTGCAATAGAGGCTTGAAGGCAGGCTTGAAGGGAGGCGGGAGCTCTGGCGAAGTTGAAGTGGAAGTGCCAGTTGGCTGTGCGGGTGGGCTGTGCAGTCAATCTGACGTGTTTGCCAAGCAGTTTGTCCGTTTACGTAGTACTAGTAACAGGTCAATGATTCAATGAACCCTCAATTTCGCCTTGGAATTGTTCCCAATCAAAATGCCGCAATAACACCATGCACTCGCACTCGCACTCGCCAGCAGCTGCTAGTCCACCACTGCAGCAGGTACGGTCAGGTGCGATCAAAAATGTTGGCAGCACAGGCAGGTTAGAGTGTCCTTATGTCATGGTGACCAATCTACCTCGTCTTGCAGCGAATGTTTGGGGGGCTGAGCAAACTACGTACCCGGAATGATTACATGACCTTCTTAGAACAGGCAACCACTTCTGACTGGCTGCATAAACATGTAATTCTATATTGAGCCGAAGGAATTGCTTCAGGATGCTAGCTCGTAAGGAGGCGAGAAATATAGTTCGGTTGGACAGGGAGGGGAAGAGAAGCCAATCCAGGGTTCAAATTAAAAATGACTCAAAATACTGGGATATCAAGTACATAAATACAACTCTGTACCCTCAAACCTCTTCGCTTGCAAACCAGCCAGCCCAATTCTTGCGTGATAAATTCCTTTCCAGCCATCGGACATCTATACACTGGAGCAAGCCATGGGACGGAGTAATGTCCAACCGAAGGGGAACGACCCGGCAGTGCTCGAGAAATCTGGCAACTTAAGCAAGGGAGGTGGAAGTGGTAGAAAAGGTAGGCTCTCGAATTAAATGACCAAACCAGTGACAAGCGACGAGACTCTCATGCTGCCTTTTCGGCGTGTTTTTTCTCCTCGAGAGCCATGGCGTGTCGGTCGCCTCCGATACCGGTGTGCTCCTCACCGGCTGAATCACTGCCGCTCGACTTGCCTTCAATCATCGTGCTGTGCTCGCCGATGCCATGTCTCTCCTTCTGTGGGATACCGTGCTCGCCCTGGAACTGCTCGGTGCGGGACGGGGTCCAGGCAAGATAATCTCTCCGCACCTCGACGTAGTCATAGGCAAATTCGCCAAGCTGATCGTCATCCATGCCGAGCAATTCCGCCTCTTCAGACGCACGCAGGTGCAGGCCAGGGATGAAGTTGATACCATAGGCGATAATGGCGCTCATAACGAAGGCATAGGCGGTAGCGGCGACGATGTAGGCAAGCTGAATGTAGAGCTGCTTCCAGTTGCCAATGAGACCACCACCATAGCCGAGCCCAGTGTTGACACCGTCGAGACCAACAACCGCATCTGAGCCAAGAAAACCGTTGGCCATGAGGCCGAGGATGCCCGCGACTCCGTGCTCAGCGAACACATCCATAGAGTCATCGATCTTGACCCAGTATTTGACTGTGAGTGGCAAGTTAGCACCCAAGATATCCCAAATCCGTGGCCTAGAAAATACTTACTCTTGGTAGCCCAATTGCAGACACCACCAGTAAGGATGCCGAGAATAATACTTCCCCAGGGCGTAAGGTAACCAGACGCTGGCGTTGCTGCAACGAGACCGGAGATAGTACCGGAACACCAGCCCACCATCGACCACTTTCTGGCCAATCTCCAGTCCAGCAAAACCCAGGTCATGGCCGCAAACATGGCCGTCAGATTCGTATTCCAGCAAGCCATGACAGCTCGTAGATTGGCACCAAAGGATGATCCGCCGTTGAATCCCAGCCAGCCAAACCATAGGAAAACGGTACCGAGAAGGATGAGCGATACGTTGTGAGGACGAAAGTTCAGCATCATGCGCTCCTGTCGTCGGCCCAAGACCATGGAGTATGCGAGTGCAGACATTCCCGACACGATCTCGACAGGCCCACCACCGGCATAATCGAGAACACCATACAGGTAACCCCACCCGTTGACATTCCAGGCCCAGCATGCGACCGGACAGTAGACGAGAGTGGCCCATAGGAAGACGAATACCATGGCCGGAATCATGCGCCCACGTTCTGCCACGGCACCCATGACGATAGCTGCGGTAACAGCACAGAATTGCATCTGGCCATCGTCAGTAACAAGAGCCGAAGGGAATTTGAGGCAATCAACGCACCTGGTAGAAGGAATATAAAAGGTCAGGAATCAGAGGCGACCCGGGACTTGGGTTGCCAAGAGTATTCATCAAACCAAAGTGGCGTAGGTTACCGATGTATCCGTTCGTTGCTGTCGGCGAAAATGCCAAAGAATAACCCCAGAAGTACCATTGAAAAGTGACGACAGAGGATGAAGCCATACAAGCCCAGATCATGGACAGAGCGGACTTTCTTCGTGCCAGACCAGAATAGAGGAAGCCAAGACCAGGCACCATGACCAACACCATGGCCGAGGCCACGATGATGTAGGCTTGATCGCCGGATTGGTACCATTTGTTCAGATTTTCTATCCCTGTTGGTTGAGTCTCGCGTCAGCTTGCATGTCATCGCAACATCCAGAGGAATAAGACATACTCGAGTCGCCGCCAATGCCGTTGGTCTGCAGAGAACTATTCGATGGAGCGCCCGTCCAGTTGTAGGACGCATACTCTGGCAAGTATGGTTGCGGATCGACGTCCGTCATCGCGGCGGCTTTTCTTTGTTCTCAGTCCTGGTTATCCAATGTCCGATTGTCGGTGTAGGTGAGGCACGTGACAGAAGCTCGAGGCAAGGGAGATCACTAGAGGCTGCACAGAGCTCGGATGCGATTCAACAGCCGATTTAGTGAAGGTGGGCAGAAGATTTGAGCGTCGAGATGGTATGAAGCGGAGGGCCAGCGAAGCGAGGGAGAGATGGGCACAGCACGGTTTAAGAATAAGTTGAAGGAGGCAGGAATACGGAGTTGGAAGCAAAGCTATGGGCAAAGCCAAGACAATAGGTCGAGTGGTAGACCGAGCGATCTATCTCTGGAATCCAGGTGCGCACTCCGCAGCTCAGCGAGGAATTGAGGCATCGACGCATCGAGTGCCGAGCTACTGCCTTGAGGGCCTGTTCCTTGAGGTCTTGGGATTACTCTCGCTTGATACGGGATGTCATAGATGGGGACAACGCAGCTGATTGGGCTGATTGGGCTGACTTGAGCTATCTAGCGCCAGTTCGGTGGGCGAAGTGGTCGATTGTGGGACTCGCCGCCTTTGCAGATTATAAGCTCCGGGGAAGCGAAGCCACGAGTCTTAATCTTAACCCCCACATGATTTGATGACAATGGATCATGCAGACCGCCAGAGGACGGGACGGAATCCATAATTGTGCTTGCAATACGCCGCCAAGAGAGCTTGTTGTGTGTGTCGATTTCAAAGTTTGCTGGGATTGGCCAGTGATATCGAATGTTGACGAGCTCCAATATCAATACCGGAATGTGGGAAAGAAAGCGTGCTTGGCTTGCTGATAAGGATGAGCGCGGTGATTTACTAATATCTGGTAATATCGAGTAATATCAAATCTCCATTAGCGTGGGTCCTTGTGAGCAAGGCCTGTGTGTTTGTTGCCATTTGTTTCCTCTCTTTTTGAACCAACCTACGTACGTACGTAGTAGTAGGAGTTCTTGCGGTGTGCCTTTGCGAATGCCATACTACGTACTAGCCTACAGGCTTTGCATCCTTTCTGCACTGCAACGTCGTCCTTTTGGCCCTGAGAATGGTAACACAGCATGGCCGGCCCTGCCTGCCAGGACCCAGTCAGCGCAGAGATCGCGGCTGCACATGGACTGGACAGATCCCCATTTTTAATCAGCGCGCAACGAGCTCGTCTTACGGAAGGCCCATTCTTGGTGACTGCGTGACACGAGGGCCTTGGTTTGCGACTACGTAGTACATGATCCACCTCAAATGCTCCATCGGCGGTATTTAGCACGGGCATTGGTGGGTTGGATGGCTGCGATGGCTGGGGAGTTGATAAGAAGTTGGCTGACGAATCATAATCGTCATCGCTATCAGACGCTAAGCACCACTAAGCACCGCAATCGCCAGGGTGGAGCCAGCTAAGCTTTCCCAGTCTTATCAGGGCCTGAGGGCCACGTGATACTCCGACTCAACAAGGAGATGAGGTTCCCAAAGCGCTTTAGAGAGTGGTACGCGCATAGTACTTGTCAATCCATCCCAAGCCTGCTAGACGGGTTGACAGAAGGGAACAGCCGCCAGGATCAAATGTGGAACCCCTGCTACCCAAGGCACACGCATAAGCTCTGCATGCTGTTCAAGCATACCACGTACACGAGTACCAGGAGCCGGCCTTTGAATCCTGGTAACCATCTGCTTCGAACGTGGTGCGGCTTCATCGTGCCGTGCTTCGAGTGCTCTGACTGCCGACGCCAGTATAGCCGCCATTGACAAACATGGTGTAGTATGCGGAGAGCAACACCGCTAATTCTCAGACACCCCCCCTATATTAGGTAGTCAACACCTCCTCCACATATGTCTCTCATCTGCGAAGGTGCGCTTGTACTCAGCCAATATGTATCCTGCAACAGTATTTAGTAATGCTGTATAGCCTTGAACAAGTACCTTACTAACCATATGTTCCGCTTTTCAGAGCATAGTACCACATTGTTGGCTATTTCCCGCCTCCCCTCCCTTGACAGCCGTTTTCTGGTCTAGATGATGACTCTGGAGCTGCTTGCCGCCAACTCCTCATACTCTCTTACCATCATCTCGGTCAACAATATCCTAAACAATATACTTACAACATGCATCGCAACACCAGCAGCGCCAGGCGCTAGGCACAGCTCTGAAGGGAACACTTGTTGCTCGTAGGCTGCGGCTTCCGGTCGATGGACAATGACAGCTGTATCATACAGGATTTCAGAGACCTGGAGGAGGGGCTCTTTGACCACTGTCCAGGAACATGCTACTCACCAGCAAGGGCACAGTTTTGGCCAGACTGGGACAAATGTGCCCGGGCCACTGCTTCGAGGGCTCGACGTAACTGCTGATCGGCACAACCATCTCCTGGAAAATGGTGGCCCAGGAAGGCGTCTTGAACGCTAAAAGTTGGAAACTCTGACACCAGTTGATTCTTTTTGACCAGAGAGAATGGACGAAGATAGGAGTGTGGCATGGAATATGAGCCCTGGATTGGAACATCCTTTGCACTTGTATGGTGGGCAACCTGCAAGTGCATGGCATCCAGTACTTACATTAGAGTTATCATAGCGTTCGAGATAGCATATCGAGGTACACATAATCAAGGGCTTGACGAGTCGCCAGTGCGTCATCATGGCAAGGAGACCAAGCCACAGGACCATGCGTCATCGGTTCCGCTGAGTTTCTGCTGTATAACGCTATTACCCAGGCGCGTATCTCCCAGAATTTACGGGCTTTTGAGATTCAATGGTGAACATCGACTGATCGATTAAGGGTGAGTGACTCTGAACAACCAAAGTCAATCAAAATTCTGTTCGCTTCAGCCATTCACCATCCACGAGCTCCACTTGAAAGGGTAAGTGATCTCAGGCATAGTGATAGACAACTGTGGGAAGCGAACATCTGCCTTGCTCCTAAATGAATCAGGAATCAGGAAACGGACCTAGTAAACGGCTGCGCACTAAACAGGACCGAAGCCTGATATTGTGTGGTAGCATAGAATGGAGAAGAAGGTGACGAAAGAGCGGCTTGATGTCCCCTGAAGGAACGAAACAAGAGGGATGATAATAAACATTCTGAGAAGTATGAGTGTGAGATCACGGCAGGTTTGGCATGATTGCATTAGAATTCGGGATCTAACACACGAGAGAATGATTCATAAAACCCAAGAGGGAAAGGATGATAGTCAAGCGCAAGGCGTATCCCGAAATGTCTGCAGTGACTATCTAGCAGTAACACCTTGGGAATAATGAAGGTACCGCTAGCGAAAAAGACTGCAACCGGTCCATCTGGGCACCATTTGAATGATCAAGAAGCTATGCGAGGACAGTTCCAAGACTGAACAGCAGGTTGATGATAAGGATAAATGCCGGAATGCTAGTAAGCACATCACGATACTAGATCCACCAATATGGCCAGTTGAACAATTAAATTGACTTCCATATTGTGAAGTTGAAGCTCAAGTTCGAAGCAAGGCAAATGGAGATGCAGCAACCCCTGTCCACATTTCGACTAGCCCAATAATATCTTGGCACCAACTTTCAACAGTCGAAGCTCTGAACATTTTATCAATGGATCAACTTCCATAACGAGGCACTAACAAAACCACGCAAGACCCCTGAAATGCGATGAATCCAGCTCACCAAGGCGCAAAACGCGTCGCCTCATCCCTTCGTGAGCACGCTCCAGCATCCCGCTTACCATTTCCTCGCTAACCAAACCAGCCTCTTCCAAAAACCACATCTGCCTCACCTGCCGCCTCAGCATCGCCTCCCAACCTCCACGTCACCGCAGCTACGCCAGCACCGCGACCGCACCCATCCGCCCGCCTCCTTCCCAAGCCACAACCCAACTGACTCCTCCCTCAACCTCAGCCCCGCCAACCTCCCAACCAGCCTACACCATCAAAGCCGGCATCGTCCTCTCCCGCCCCCCCCTCCTGACCCCGGATCCGCATCCCTTCGAAACAGCCTACTACCTCTACCAGCGGCGCCTGAACGAGCGCCTCGTCCTCCCCTTCACGCAGTATTTCTACTTCAAGCCGAACGGCGTCGCGGGCAGGGATGTGGGTGGGTATAACGCGTTCGGGAAGGAGGGGTGGAATGATGAGGCGTTGATGGGGGATGAGAGTGGGGAGAGGGAGGTGATTGTGAGGAAGTTGATCGAGGAGGAAGGGAGGGCGCGGAAGGATCAAGACGTTTTGGGGCAGGGAAAGGCGGATGCGGGTGTGGATATGGGTGGGCTGACGAGGAGAACCGAGGCGGACGAGATGGGGGATGTGAGGAGTTTGGAACGCGCGTTGACGAGGACTCTGTATTTACTGGTCAAGAGGAAGAGGGCGAAAGGGAAGGAGGGGGCGTACTGGAGTTTCCCGAGTGGTGTGCTGGAGGGAAAGGAGGGGTTGAAGGAGGTGAGTTCAAGAAACCACAGCCTGTCAAACTCCGAATGCTGATGACCTCTTTCCCAGGCAGCACAGCGAATCCTCGATTCCTCCTGCGGCCCAAACATGTTCACCTGGTTCGTCGGAAATCACCCCGTAGGCCACTACATTTACCACATCCGAAACCGGGCGCGAATCACCCAATCCGACTCTTCGCCAACGCCTGCCAACCAAACTCCCTTGGCAGGCGAAAAGACATTCTTCATGAAGGGTCGTATCGCAAAAGGCCAGGCGGATCCGAAGGGCAACGAGATGGGCGTCGAGGATTTCAAATGGCTTAGTAAAGAGGAGATCCAGAGGGAAGTTAGCCCACAGTATTGGGCTAGTGTCAAAAATATGCTGGTGGAGCAATGAGGAGGATGTGTATCAATTCAAAGCATAGCACATGATAAAGTAGCATTGGTCAGTCGCGTGTGCAAGCTATGTGATTCAATGGCCGTGTACTGTGTAGCAAAACAACGTCAGGGGGGACACACAGAGGGCCGCGAGACCTAATCCACCTGTAGATAATAGGAGGCCAAACAATATCGCTAAGTACAGACTGGTTCAAAGGTATTTTCCAAATTTCTCCAATGACAAGGAATTAAAACGAACGCTTCTCCTTAACGTAGTTGTGGCACAGATCTGTGATTCCACCCTTTCTTGAGAAAAGCTGGACACGAGACAACGGCTCCTGCGCCGAATGTCCTTCATAAGGCTTTTTGGAGGCACCAGTCCTTGCACGTGTACAGCGGACTGCATTCCACCTATTCCGAAATGGGTAACATCACCAGCCTCTGTAAACCGAAGTTATGCGCTTGGGTATCATGACGGTCGAGCATACCGACACTTTCGTAGATTTGTAAAAACAGACATGGCCGCAACGCGGGCCAGACATAAACAGAGAAATAGTGCTGCGTGACAAACATCGTACTGGGTATTGAGGCACGATTCTCCGCCCAAGCTGCAACAGGCAAGGACGACTCCACCTATGCATCATCGAGCTCAAGGCTGCTCATTGCAGACGTTCTGGAAGTAGGTCACCAGGTACGGCATCGACTTGTCGGTCACCATTCCGACCTCCATGGCTTTGATGTTGTGCTCAACCGTATAAGGCTTTCCGAAGTTGAGGCGGCTCATCGGGTCAAGCTTCTGATCAGGACTAGCCGGCTTCACTGCGATCGGTTCTTTGACGAGACCGCGCTCATCCTGGCGTGGTTGCGACTTGGTGCCCTGCATGTAAATTACGGCGTGTCTCTCGATGTCCTCGCGGGATAAACCTCTTTTGGTCACTCCCTGGCCGCTATAGGTATGGATGGGACTGTTCAGCACCTAGCGTCAGCTGCTGATCCAGGTTGGAATGCTCGAGATACGCAGTGGAGAATGCCATACATGCACCAAGAAAACCCGTGCATCTTTTTGACGAGGACCATTCGACGAGTCTTCGTAATGATGTCTTGTTGATACGGTCCGCGTCTAGAGGCTTCACTGAGCTGAGTGCCGCGACTGCCTGCATTCTCATGCCAGAGCATTGCCAATACCTGTGTGAAGGCTCAATTCAGTTCTCATGTTGAACTAGAGAGTGCAAATCTTACGCGACCACGGACAAAGAACTTCTCCATTGATTTGCCCTGGCGCTCAATAAACCCTGCAGGCTAGTTAGCCAGTGACGTTGGGCAAGTAGAAATTACTTGCGTCTATCTAGCTTGTCATCTCTGTGTATCGTGCCGCCTTTAATACGAGTAGGACTAAGCCTGTTGCCCTCAGCAGCCGCGGCGGGCCGGGTTGCTGGAGGATTGCTGGGAGGAGACCGCTAGCTATTGTTAGCTGGAGACAATGCTGGCTTGGTGTGGTTGGAACTTGCAATGCCAAGTTGCTCAAAGCCGTGGGTGACCGTGTCCAGAGATGAAGGACGGGGAGCAGGCTCGGATTCGCGCCTCATGGGCCATTGATCAAGAATTCTATTGTTTTCATCAAAGCAGTACGTTTGCCCGTCTCTCGAGACCACTCTCCGTGTACCTGGAGGATAGGTTCTACTTCTGTCAAGCGTAGAGGAAGGGCTGGTAGGCTGGGGCGATATTGGACTATTACAGCTAGCACCAGACAATCTGTTTGCACCGGTCAAGGCTCGGTCGCCGACCTGAGATTCGGTTCCTCGAGCAAGTGTGGGAGAGGTGGGCGAAGTAACATAACGAGGGTCTTGTTGAAGGCCATATAGGTAAGCACCACTTCCAATGTTAGAATTGTGATGCTGTAGGAGGGATAAGCAGCGCACTCATGAGACGACCTCGAACCGGAGTATTGTGTTTGGTAAGATGTCATCCGAGCTTCTCCAAGCCTACAAGTCCTCATTAGGTGGAGCTCCAGCTGAGGTGAGGAATTGGCTCACTGAGCAGCAGGGGCATTCGTGTTTGCTGGTGGTGCGCTGTTGGGAAACAACGAGGTGTGATATGCTGACGCCTGCTGCGGATAGCCAGACGGCTGGTACGAGGCACCCCGGGCTTGCTGACCTGCAGGTCCCAGAGCACTCGTCTGGTTCCTGGGGTCTGTTGTGCGTGGTGTTTGGCTTCTCCCTGTCAGCGGCTGCGTCCAGTTCACAGAACAGCGATGATGTACTTGTTTAATTGGCTGAGAGTGCCACGTTCATCATCCCACTGGGTATACTGTCTGCCTAGCGGGCGTGTTCAGTATTCGAATGAAGGACTCGAAGCTGCGTGCTGCCATCTACCTTGAAAAGTTACTGTGCGATACTGTCTACCCGAGCTAGACTGTCTCCACGGCGTTATCGCTTCGAATCCAGGCTGTGAAGGCATTATTTCCAACCAGTCTGGCTTTCATGGTTGAAGGCCGGTGGCTATCCGCAACAGCTAAATAGCCTGCCCACTGGGTGCGGCTCCGATACACCACCATTATGGCAAATGGGTTCATAGCAAAGCGTGGCCGGTACGTGTTGCTTGCTGGGGCGATCATCGTGCTTCTGATGCGACGCAGGGAATCGATCAATAGTATTGATGGCTTAAGTGTGTGTAGTGCGCCAGGGACGGGGGATGCTTCTCGATTGGCACGCCGTGTAACGACGACGCGCCTGCAGGGATTATCATGCCACTAGCCAAGCACATCGAGTCCGCGGTCTAACCGGATCAGCCAGAGGTCAAACCATGTACTTTGTGATTTACCGGTATCTTACACAGACACGCTCATGGGCCCCCTTTGCCCTCGGCCCCACCAGCATCTGAGTGGCTTTCCTGGGCTGGTTGCACTCGATATCTGGACGCCTTGTTTGAGCATGGACCAGCTCCCTGTGCTGATGGGGTGCCAACAGGTGTCCGCGGAACAGCGGCCACCCACCGCTCTTTGCTCATCCGTGCAGGCGGCAGAGAATAGCAGTCTGCAAGAAGTTTCCACTATGAGCCAGCGGTGTGCTATCCACGGTGATGGCATTGAAGAAGTGGCAGTCTTGGACTTCAGTATCAAGATGGATTTTTAGCTGGTGGCGCGTTCCACAGCTCACGTAGGTTATTTGCTCTCTTGCCGGTGCAGAGGATATGGCTGATCACTAGGGTCTCAAAGTGCAGATACTCTAGCTGGGAAGTCTGGAGCCACGTCAGACCAGCTGATAGAATATGAGTGCACTGGATATCAAGACCAGAGTGACGATGATAGCCAGGGCAGAGAGTTCCTGACCCCGAGCTCTCATAGCCTATCAATCGTGTCTACTCCCTCTAGGTCTCCTTCTCTACACTTTGGCTGGGAGAAGGCCACCAAACTAGAAGCTTTCTCATCTGATGAGACCTTGCATGCAAGGGGGCAATCAAGCCCGTCAAGCTTGAAAGGCCACGTCTCTGTGTTTCCCGAGGCTGCTACTTCTTCGATAGGCCAACCTCTTGGAAATCGGTCTATTCAAACCGTCGATCCACGTCATGATAGAGAAAAGGTTCAGCAGAGACGAAGGCTTCTCCAGTCCCAGCGCCTCATTGACAAACGTATGGCCGTGCTAGGTGTTCGTCTACGCGTCCGCGAGAGTCGGAACGCGCTCCGTAGCATCAGGGAAGATCTCATGGAGACGGATGCTCGTCTTTCCCAAGACCTCAGGATGCTGACGGCCAGGTCCGGCAACGTCAAGCTGGAGGCCCTACTCAGCCAAATCGAGGGCATTCAGAACCAACGAGAGGAAATGCAGCTCAGGGAGTCAGAGTACAACATTCTTGAGGACGAGCTGAATCGTGCGGAGTGGGAGATGAAGGAGGACGAGACTAAGCTTTATGAGCAAATGACCGATGTTGACGACCATTTGTCACTGGAGGATAGTGACCATCACTTCAACGAAGAAGCTCTGGATGCGGCTTCCTCGGACACTGCCTCAACACCACCTTATAGGTCACCGTTGGAAGAGCAATGGCTCTCAAGAATCGGCGACCGAAACTTAGCCTTGGAGCAGCTTCAAGAACTTCGTGCAGAACGGGCGCGCTGGGTCGAGGAAGAAAGGGTCCTTCACCGCGTCGGTCGCAAACTCGATGAGGAAGCACAACATTTCCTTGATCGTTTTGATAGTCGACATGTATCTCTCAAGGGCGATCTTGTGCAAATCGAAGCGGATCTGGCTCGACTACAGGAAAACTTATCAGAGCAGGCAGATGTTCTCTATTCTTCAAGCCAGTTTGACGAAGAGAGTGAGACGATAGATCGACCGTCTACAGAGCCACTCTTGAACATGGCTATTACAGACGACACAGACCCAGCTTCAAAAGACCCCCTGTTCCTTCGAGAAGACAGGCATCACCCAATCTTCTCGGATGCGGCTATCGATTCAAACCAAGACTCGATCAGCACAGTGAGCTACATCAACGAATGGCTGTTGCACATTCTCCGCAGATCAGCAATTGAAGTGCGACGGTTCAAAATGACCGAGAAAATTCGAACGCTGCCACTCGAACGCGAGCAATTAGCTCGGCTTGTTCTCGACTGGTGGTCCAAGGATGAGACAGTGAGGCTGTTTCCCCAAGGTGGCAAGGACGCGGGAAGAAGTGTCTCTCCGACATCGAAGGGAAACTGGGAGGAAGGCACACTTCGAGCCACACGCAGTGACTCTGTGTCGCTTCGAAGAAGAACGTGTCCGGTATCCAAGGAAAACTGGGAGAAATATCGCATCAGAGCCACCCGCAGCGATTCGGTATTGCTCAGCGTTGATCGCATCGCGCGTCGCTTGCAGGCCACTCACACTCTCCAACTCGACGCAGCTACAGGCATGACAGTCTTTCCTGGCTTGAATATCATGGAAGACTCGTACCGTGCTACAGCATCGACTCGTCCCAGGTAAATTGATGGGGCGATCTATTCAGCTTTCACGACATGATCATCCATTCAACAAGTTTTCCTTTCCCATCGAGCATTCTCTGTCTTGTATTTCTACGATAGCTTGGGAGGTTGCGCCGAGCCACAGGCATGCTTGGAAGGATCGCAGCCGGGCAAGTGAAATGCATGTTTCCACCATTCGCCTCTGATTTCAGGTATCGTTTGCTCATCATGTTCACCAACAGCTGTATGATCTGTAGGAGTACTTGCTACGATTCTGCAGCAGACCAGAAGATGCATCTGGGCCGTTTTCAGCAAGATCCATGCAGACGCACTGCTTTGCTTTGTGTTAAGCGCCGCTTCTTGCCTCATCGAACCAAATATACTTTCCAGACACACATAAGTTCGAATCAATGAGAGCAGCAAGCAGCACGCAGCACGCAGCCTTGCCGGAATCCGAGATTGCAGCAATAATTGGTGCAGCCAGGGTCGCACATGATCGGAACCGCTACTTTAGACGTGCTACTTTGGATGTGCTTATCGATGGATGTCATGTGTACCTCCCAGCTCCCAGGCAGGAAGTGGTACTTGCCCAACCCCTGCTCTCTGTCGCTTTACTTAGGCCTGCTCCGACGGCCCTCCGGCCCGATGAGGATTTAGCGTAGCCCTGTCAGAGGCTTAACTCAACTGTTGCTCTCAATGCTTGTTCAGGGGAGCGGTCAGACTGCCACGAAACTCAGGAGAGCCGCATATAGCTGTAGGCGTTAACTTCCTCGAGGCGACCGGCAGCTGTAGGAGGCGCGTGACCCGGACATGTGTCAATCGAAATCCAGGGAGGTAGGGAAGTAACAGCCTGCAGTCGTGTTGGCATCAATCGCGAATCGCAAGGCAATGGCATATCGTGCCATGCAACAGCGGCACACTGCCCCTCCTTCATCGCGAAATACCACTACGGTATCGACTAGTAACAAACCCCTGTTCCGTGAGCAAGCGTCGACCTTGTCTCTGGGAAGTTGGAAACATGGGTTTCACCCAGCTCATACCAATCATCGGCCCCGAAAGCCAAAAATAATCCACTCAATCAAGCTACTGCCGATGTGTGCTACTGGGCGCCGGATCGTCGTAAGGGATCCCAGGAGATTGCCTGGGAAGCTAACCAGCTGCTGACCTTACCATGATATTTCGTCCTACCCGCCGGCAGCCACAGAGTTTCCTGATCCCGACCACTTGCTTGCTGCACACACACGATGATGCGTTGGCTTCTGAAAAACTGGAAAAAAAGTTTAATGCTGCATATGCACCCGCATCGAGTGTCCGATCCACTGCAGCGGAATAAATGTATCCCGCAGATACGCAAATCAAGCACAGATGGCAGTGTCAATCTCGAGCAAGACTGTCTGCAAGATGGCGAGTCGGAATGCTGCCGACTCTTACACGCGCGAACCGATTTCTTGCACGCCACGACTGAGACACGGGGGGCATGACATCAGTTGCGCTGATCAGAGATATTTTCCCATTTCCTATTTTCAGCTTGTGTACCACAACTTATCCGGGCCGCGATCGGCAAGTCCCATAACTGTGGCTACTGCAGAGAGCGCAGTGCCAATCTCTGGGCGCTTCCCAGCGGGACTATAAAAGAAACCAGCAACACTGCTCAATCTGCTCCGCATCTCACCGATGTTCCTGTTTGCTCGTCAAACTACTCCTAGCTTCGGAAGTGGGAATGTCTAAAACGGCCCGGACCGACATTGATCGGAGGCCCACACGCATTAGCCTCATCGCCGGTCTGCGCGCTGTCATTTCCATCAAATCGAAACCATGAAGGAGGTTACATAAGCAGCTCAGCCCTGAGGAGGCTGGAAGGACGACACTGGCTTCAATCCCCCTCTCAGAGCTCTGGTCGCCAGATCGCCTCGCTGGCCTTCTTCGTTCCTCCAGCATATCAGACGGACGAGCTAGCAGGGGTCGTCAACCTTCTAACGATCCGATGGGGTAAGGGATGAATGAATCTGCCAAACAAATAGCTTGTCACCGGCGCACTAGAGCCGCGGCCTCTTTGACTCATCAGCGCCCGTGATTCGAGTCCGATGTCATATATAACCACAGCCACATGAGATATTGTGTCCTCAAAACATAATTCATTGCCGTTCGGAGGCGACATACCAATCATCAATGTATCCTGTTTCTTGCCACCCTTCCTTCCGTCCCTCCTCCATTTTTCACTTAAGCAAATCCAACGCCCCCCCCCCCCACTGGCTGCTGACGCGGCTTGGATTGCGTGCCGGCGCATCTGTGGGTCAATCCAAATTTCCCCAGCTCACAGCCTACACATCCGTCCCTCAATCCCACCACCTCACCTCACCTCAACCCCTATCCTCCAGATGCCGAACCATCACCTATCCCTCACCACAACCCATCATCATTGTCTACAGCGCGTCCACGAGCGAGATGGGGGAAAACAGCAGCCGGTGCGGTGTTAGCGGGGACGGCGCAGGCGGGGAATATGGGAGCGGGCATTCAGGGGATTTTCCGGCATGGATGGAGTGGAGATGGGGAGGGGGATGTGGCGTTTTGTTTCTTTATTCTTTTTTTTTCTTTTGGCGTGGTGGCATGAGCAGGGGAGGGGGGATGTGGCGTTTTGTTTCTGTTTTTTTTTTTGTTCTTTTGGCGTGGTGGCATGAGCCGGGGTGTGGGGTACGCTAATTTAGAGGAGGAGGTAGTGGTGGTGCAGCATGCTAGGGAGAGTCACGTATTGATACTTGTTCATAAAGGGGTGAACGCTGGAGGGTGTGAAGTTGGTTGGTGTCAGATTGTTGGTATTTGCTGGGCTTCTGCTGGGCCGCTGGCCCTGGTCTTTATGAGGAAGGTGCTGCGGTGATGGAGTTTGCTTCTCCTGCAGGGCTAGCTAGGTAGGACTGAGCGGGCCAGGGTTTTCAGATCATCACCGATGGTGTCGTCGGTGTTGGAGTTAGACCTCTACCGGGTTGGCTTCAGCATCGTAGGGAGCGCAGATGCCAAGTCACGGGGAGATTTGAGAGCTGCGGCACTACAAGGCGTAACTGCAGCATTTGGGTAATGGAATGGGTTCATTGCCTCGTAGCCAAGGTGATGATGCTACAGCGTCCGAGGAGAGAAGGAATCGCAATCAGATGCAACCGATCATCAAGTTCCGATCTCGTAGATCACTAATGCCACCCCTCAAGCGACGGCTGTGGCAAGGTTCCATTCGCGTAGAGGTGTGCATCACAGCACTGTGCCCGTTCCACCTTCACAGCACCTAAGCGCAAGAGCAGCGAGACCATCTTCTCGTCTCCTGTGCGCATCGCCTGCATTATTGGGCTGGAGTAGCTCACCCTAGGATCGGCGAAGACGGTGTTCAGGTCGACTCCACGCTCCGTCACCAGAAAGCGGACGAGATCGTAATGAGATCTTCCACAGAGCTCCAAAGGTATTTCGTGGGCCAACGTTCCCTGGGGTCCGGCCCAAGGACCTGGGCTGGAAAGATCCGCCCTGTGTGCCGAGCTCAAAAAGCGAAACATACGAAGATGACCGTCGGAAGCGGCCTCTTCCAAACATACGTTCCAGCTTTGGGTGTCGACCACGGCACCGAAACTCAAAAGAAGCTGTAATATCTCAACATGCCCGTTTCTGGCCGCCAGTCTGAGAGGAGTGGCCCCCCTGTTGGGTGCGCATGTTTCTAGCTGCGCTCCGCTCTCGAGAAGCAACCGCGTCAGAGGTAAGTAGCCTCGTTGGCAGCTGTACAGCAGCGCAGTCTATCTTGCTGGGTCTCGGAAGTCGACATCTATGCCGTGTTTGAGCATCATCGAGACGATCCCGGTTTGTCCTGCCATCGCCCCTTCGATCATAACCAAGGATTTGATGCGCACCAGACCTGACCATTGCGTCCCTTTGTCTATCAAGTACCAAACCATCTCTTGATGTCCACCTCTCGCTGCATGGTAGATTGCCCGTTCATATTTTGGGTTAGTGGCAACAACAGAATACTTTTCTGATAAGATAAGCCGTGTCAAATGGACATTACCAGAGGCTGCAGCTGCATCGAATGCGCTTTGGCCGTTGGAACCCAATTCAGCCTCCCCCTTCGAGACCGATTTGGTGATATTAGCTTTGTGCTTGAGCAGCAGGTGGACCATTTCAAGTTGACCTGTGTTGACAGCAATGACCAAAGGCAACCCGAAGTCACTTTCAGAGTCGGCATCAATCCCTTTCTGAAGCAGGCTTTCGACATGCGATGTGTTTCCTAGCGTGACAGCTATTGAGAGCATGTCAGGGTGGTCCATGTTAGGATTGTCGCAGATGAGGCTAAAGCCTGGTTTGTGTGCTCCCCTTAGCCACTTAAGCATTTTCGCGCTACCAAAACGAGCACTCATGGCGGTAAATAAACCCCTGACATATTCAAGCTGCTTTTCTGGAGATTTGTCTCTCCCCAATGTCTGGGCCAAACTGCATGTCGCAGAGAGAAATGGATTTGTGGCAGCGTCAATTTGAGCTCTAGTGATAAGGTATTTGACAACCATTGGCTCACTCATGCTTTTAGCTCGGCTATGTGCAAAGAAGGCGAAGAATTGTGTGGCAAAGAGTGCGTGTAGAATCTCCTGATCGAAGAGTCCTATAGATGCTGATTAGTATTCGAAAATACGGAACTTCTCTAACGTGCAAGGCGTTCCCTTCGCCAGCCTCCTTATGACGACGGTCACCATCTTTCTCGAAAGAATACCCTTCTCTTAGGGGATCTTTTTAAAGAGAGAGATATGTTTCGAAATAGTAGACTTACTGCAGACGGAGCGGAGGCGCACCGCTTGATAGAGACCAATATCAGCAAGCACATAATGGAATACCTCCCGACACAGTTCAAGCGGTAGCGCAGAAAATATCTTCTTGCGAGGGGGCTCTGAAGGGGCGAAATGGCATGACATATTGATGTCGGCACGTGTGAGGTATTTCGATCGACTTCCAGGAATTCGGTAAAGATGGAAAGTTGAAGTAGCCTCAAGATATCCAGGTAGAAATCTATCTCGAATGCCACGATTTCTTGCTGCCTGAGTGGAAGCATTGTCTGAGTTATTGTGCCACAATCAATGTGTTTTGGCTTCCAGGTTCCTTTGCGAGCAACCTCTGACCATTGTGGAAGATGATGTTGAAGATGACCACGTACCATGAGCACTTCTAAGGCGACTATTGCCTTTGTGTTGGTTGTACAATTAGTTGCGTAGATCTTTGTGCTTCCACGTGCATCATGTGTTTGCGAGTCCTTTATCAATACCTGGTGGGGCTTGAGGAGCAATTGTTCCTTTGACCAGAGGTAGCATGTCTGGGTGGCATGTAATTGTCAGGGCACCCCCGACCACACGTTCGGCATCATCCTCCTCACGTGAGGTCCTAATAACAGCATCGGCTGGTGTTCTGAAGAGTTGCTTCGCTTTACCGACAAGAAGTCCATGGTTGCCTTTCTTGTATCAGCATTGGAAAGCCACACCCTGCCGCTTTGCCATGTTCGTTCCTCCTCCTGCAAATCCCGTGCCCTCACAACTGATCTCCACCAATCCTGGCCGGATCTTATCCTTTCTTCCATGCTCCTTTCCTGGCTTCTGCCTCCGCTCTGTCACGTCCGTTTCGCATACATAGCACAGTACGTCGCCGTGCTTCTCCTTCGGGTCAGGATTATGGGCATGAGGTATGTCAGGCAGCTTCATAAACTTCTCAACACAGCTTCCGCAAAGTACATGTCCACATGGTTTGGCGAGTGTTGCTTTCGAGCTGTTGCTAAGTCCTTTCTTGCATGCAGGACAGGTCCGGACATTATTTTCCGTTTTATCGTCTTTCTCTTCCGTAAAGTGGACCGTGATGAGTGTCCTCAACGAGTAAGGGTGCTTGGTGGACGGAGTAGACGCTGGACAAATAGGATGTAGCTTGCTCGGCTTGTCGTTCGCTTGCATAAGTGGATTGGAAGACTTTACGTCCACGCCGGGAACCCAGAAAGAAGCCTCAGTCTACAGATAAACCAGCATATCAGTAAAATGAATTTTTTCCATCATGACTGCCCAGGTGGTCCCATCTACCTTTTCTTCACCACTCTTCAACTTTCGGCTGTCAGGTATCTCAGCACTCTCCAGCTCATCAACCTTTCTCTTCTTCCTGTTGCCATTTGCCGCCACGCTACTCACTTCCAAGCCTTGAGCAGTCCTCTCGAACTTCTCAAGTTCTCTCCTTGCCTCTTCTTCCTTATCCAGTCTTTCGGCCTCTCCTTTGTCGGTCTCTCGATCCTCCCATTCCCGCTCTAGCCTCTTGATTTCCTTCCTCTGTGCGACCAGGTCATTCAATGCACATTCCCGACAGAAAACATCTGCCTTTGCTCCGCCAGAGCAGGCCACCGGATCTCTCGCCGGGAGGAGACAGAGGCGACACGATGCGAAGGGAAGAAAGGAGTCCCGGGTCAGGCGGGTGGATTGACTGCCCCAGGAGTTACGTAGGAGGGAGCGCTCATAGGAGGTGAAAAAGGCGAGGGAGGTGTTGCGTTTGGAGTGCGACATGCTGTAGAGAAATCAGAAACGCATTCAAAATAAAAATGAGGATGGTTTGCAACTTTGCCGCGCTGTGCCTCGGCTACGGCGTGTACTCTACAGTACTACGTTTTCCCCCTACACACCTGAATACTTACAGTACTGCAGGTTATCTATGCCAGGCCTAGAATGCTTTTCCATAGTACTACTACCTTAGTAGTAATGGGGCACCAACATCATCTTGCTTGCCCCCGTAATCCGACATGATCAAGCTGATAAGAATTGTTTGAATGGCGCCCTAATAGCAAGACTCAATCTCTAATTCACAGTTGAGCCGGAGGTGCATTAACATGATTGGTAGATCGGCGCAAAAGGTTCTGCCAAGCAGCAGGCAACACCGAGGCGGTCATGGAAATAGTATGCCTGATGCGAGTGGGATGGTTGAGAAGAGTATCTCATCCTCCTCACTATCTCATGCTCGCCAGTAACAGCGGCCTCCTGCGACTTCGCCTGCTCTCACTTCTCTATCTCACTTTTCTCCCTCCTTTCCTCGCTCCTCGTCCTTACCTCACAGGCTCTCGCAGCAGCAGTAACACCGGAGTAGCAGCCGCTAGTAACCCCCGTTTCTCTTTCTTGACCACAAGAGCCACCGACGCAACGTTAGCTCGCTAGTGCGGGCGTTTCTTTGCTCCGACCTCTTCCCAACCAGCTCTGCTAGCTTCGATTTGCTCTCTGTCCTCCACCACATTCAACCGCACCACTTGATCTGGTGGCGCCGGCACCATAGCCTCCTCGCTCCCCTTTTCTGCTCCACCAGCTGCTCCTTTTCTCCCGTTCTGCTTCTTCGACCTCTTCTTCTTGGCCTTCTTTATCGGAACGGCCGCCGGTTCCTCCTTCTTCTTCTTCTTCTCCTCCTCCTCATCCAACTCCGCCAGAAGCTCAGCTCGCTTCTGCTCCGCTAGCTTTTCCTTCTCCGCAAGGTCTTCCTCCTCTGGCTTATTCGGCCATATGATTCATCTTCATGCGCTGCCATCAAGATTCGTCCAAGCAAGGCATCGTTCTGGGTTCGGGATTGGAACAATTCATTATCCGTCATGTGTGACAGCCCCAATGTAGTATTGCCCCAATGAGGGTGCTTTTCCGGACTGTCGCTGACATGACGCAGGGCTCCCCTCCTGTCAGAGCCTAATGTATTCCAGTACTGGGCTGCCCAGAGGAGACAGTAATGAGTGCGTAGTTCATCGGAATGGTACGCTGCAACTGAAGCGCATTGTTCCCAGAGCACTGCACACCTCATATCCTTTATTTCAAGCTTCCTGTATCCTTCAGCCACTTCAAGAGCTGATTTGAAGAATACCCATGGAGTCTTTTGTTTTTTGTTGTCGCGCTCAATGGGAGCTTCAATTTCTTTCATGAGCGCATTTACTTTGGCAAAGCTCTCTATCGTCTCAGGGGTCACATCCATGCACAGTTTGCAAACGCACTCGAAACGATACAATTCACGTAACGTGAGGCGGCGTTGCGCTGTAAGGAAGGGTAAGATCGTATATGAGACTGTGATTTCGGTACCGGCTTTAATAGGTTTTATGGCCACCACATTTGTCACCAGGTCGGCACTGTCACTAATGCCACACGAGTTGAATGTCGCATTTCCAATGCATGAGTGATTGAAAGCGCACGTTATTGGACCGAAAAAAATCGAAATGGGAGGGGAGGTGACTTCGAGTGGTTGACAATTCGTGAAGAAGAGATTTGCGTGGTCGCTTAGTCCTGGTACGGAAAGTGATCTAGACAGCTGACTGGCGACAGTCTGCACGAAGGCATCATCTTTGTACATAGCAATTAAGCCAGAGACTGCGTCCTCGACGGGTCGAACTCGGTAGTTTCTTATATCCTCCCAGAATTCCGGGTTCTCCCATGTCGCAGCAGAGAACTTGTATTCGCCGAGATCAAATCTTACTGATATCTCCTCGGAGATTATGGTCGCCTCTGCAATATCGACCTTTGCATATAGGCCTAAGCCTTTCTTCTCTGTTTGACGGATCTCACATAATCTGCCCGCTGGCTGTGGGGGTGGTGTTGTAGGTTCCATTTTGTTCGAAATAGATTGTGAGGATAGTGCTGAAAGCGTGGAAATATTGAAGACAAGCACTGATGCTCACGGTAGCGACTTCAGCTGGATTCCTAAAGGGCAGATTTCAAGTGCAATAGCTATGTTGAACCCTTTGCCAAACTTGGCCAGCTTTTACCAGCAGGGCAGACTGGAAGCGTATCTTCGATGGAGCAGTGATTGAAGCTTCAGGTCGTTTTCACTTTTCTGAATGGGTGAAATAAGAAAAAGATTAGAGATTCTCGGGCGGACAGGAGCCGGAACATTCTGTGAGCGACTCGGCATTCTGTGGCGAGCACGATACGGAATGAAATTTGGCTTTCCGGAACATTCTCCAGAACATGCATAAACATTATGAAGAGAAAGATGCCAGCTGTCCATGCACTCTCAATTAACAAACATCATTATGGTCATAGTGCTTGCATCTTAGATGATGAAAGAAGGTCCAATGCCAGGTCCCATTGCTCTTGGCTTTTTCTGATCCCAGTCCATATTCTTCTGTTGAAGAGCCTTCACCAGTCTTCGCTACTACCAAGATATCAGCCAGCGACCTTCCCTAGACTTTCAAACCCGGGACACTTGCAGAAGCTCACAGAGAGCATCCCTGTCTCTGTGAAGCATGCTTTTCATTCATGAACGGTCTTACTTGGCAAGAATGACATGCAAAGTCCGCACGCCTATAGTGCTGATGATGAACAGTACAAAGAAGACTTTGACTTGCGGAGAAGCCCCCTTATTGCAATCGGAATCAGCCAAGACGGGACATCATTTGTCCGATCTCTTACGCGCGCTAGCTGGCTCACTGGCGCGCCTTGGCATGATAGCCGAGATCTCAGCAACAACAAAGCCTACAGCAACTACGCTTGTATATATAACAGAAAAGAAGGAACAATGATGCAGTCTGCCTGCCTGTCTGTCTGTAATGATGCTCGTTTGTCTAGCTTTGTGCTGCTCAATGCGCCGGATTGAATTGTCAACCATAAAAAAGGGGATCATGTGTAGCCAAAATGTCTTCTCCACCAGTGGGCTAGTGACCAAAATCAAACAAGACAGACACCTTAGATGTGACAAAAAGGATTGCCATGGGACAACCAGATGTGTGAAATGCAGTCCACAAAATTGAGATTGCAGCTTTTATCATCAAGACCTCTCCCCTGCCAACCTAAATATCTCATCTTTTTTCTGTCACCGTAAGTGGATTCAGGCAAGTCGCGGCCTGAGAGTCAAAAGAATGGTAGCTATGGCGATACCCACTGCAGCTGCTCCAGCCACAATGCCAATCGATACACCTTTGCTGAGTCGCTTTTCCAGAATGCTTCTAGGGTGCAATAAGGAACGAGCGATAGCCTGTTTGGTTCATCCAAAATCAGTATTCTACCTGTCATATTCCTCGGAGACCTGTTGGAGGCACTTCATCTTCGGCCCAGAAGCATGGGTCGGAGACTTACTGGAGGTTTGATATTCTTCACCGACATGTTCCTCAGCATGTCCCGCTTCCACACCTCAGAGCTGGACGAGGAAGTCCCAAATGCTAGATGATATGCCCAAATTGCCAGTAAAACCAGTATGATGACGACAAGGCAGAGAATCAGGACTTCCAAGGCATGCAGGACCGGCCGATATACAGGTTTACGACGCCTCATATGCGCTGGAGCTGGAGAGGGCGGTGGAAGATTAGGCAGCTTCGCACCATCGTCTGCCACTTTGATTCGATGCTCATCATCGTCGAAGCGGACTCGAACCTTGTCTCTCTTCGCTGTGCCTGCAGGTGTGTAAGACATTCCGGTCGAGGATGAATGCGTGGTTGAGTTTGTGGCACATCAAGCTGATGGAGAGGGTGTGCAACTGTAAGATTATAAGATGACCTGCCTTTCGTGCTGACTGCTGAGCAGTGACTTGGTGTGTCATATCATTCTCGTGCAGACTTCAACTGCAGCAACCTTGGTCTTCGTCATTGGGCCCGCGAGTAATCGATATGTCCTTCACTCTATGTATTCCCCCCTCAAAGGGACAGCATTGACGAGACTGACTCATCTAACAGCTACGTTAATTCTGCCGTAAGACAGCTGCTGCACCGCCAGAAGATAATTCTCTCGGGACAATGCTATAACAGTTCTCCTCCACTCACGATAAGGTGGAATTGTGGTACACCTCTTCTCAGGAATACCTAGCATGACAACATCATACGCTCCAGGCGATATTCTTCCAAATCAGTATGGGAATCTAGCAGCCAGATCCAAATTGCCGAGCAACTCCTTGCCAACTCAGGACCTCCTATCCAATATCATCATCGTACGAATTCGCTTTTCACCACCCTCAGTCACTCCGCCCAACCACCGAATCCACCATTTAAATCTCCATACCACGTCCACACTCCCCTTCATTGCCCAGACCTACTCACCCTATTCACACCAGCAACCACACAACCAAACATCCACAGACTCGCACCAATAAAAGCCAGCAAGACAAGCACTCCAAGGAAGATCCCGAAGATCTGCCCTCCTCCCAGCTCATCCCGCTTGCACAGTCCAGTGGATGCAATGACACGATCCACTATGTCGTTCTGGCTGGTGTGTGCCGAGATCGATGTGACAAGGCTATATGCCGCATAGGGGAGGACGGCAACGGCAAGTAGAAGGAGAATTACGGCGAGGATGAGGAGGAAGGGGCGTTTAGGAATTCTTTGAATCTGTTCTTGCTGGGAGGGAGGGAGGGTGTCCGTTTCTACGTCGTCGATGGCATGTTTCTCAACATCTCCACGGAAGGCTGTGGATTTCCTCGTGATCGTATATGTCGAAGGTTGGGGCATGGCTGGACCCATGCTCAGTGCTTGAAAAGTAGGACCTACGGGTTGTTCTTAGGAAGCTGACGTAGACGCTCTATCTATTGCAAGATAATATTTGGAACTCTCTCTATGTGTAGAGAGATCACAGAGCCTGTATGCCATTTGTGGCAAGTCACAGTCGCCAGATCCAGTCATAAACCAACAGGAGTGTGGGTGGATATGGGTGAAGATTCCAGTAAAGGCGCAAAAGTATAGAATCATATTGTTATCATTGATCAAAGAATACTGACAGCGGGACATTTCAAGAAGGTGGAGACAAGACTAGGCCGTCTTCTGCACACCATAAGGGCAAGAAGCAAGATGGCTTGATGTCCCAAGTAGAAATTTCTTTCGTGTGCTCTGGCCTTCGGCCCATTCGCTAGACTTCGCACACTGTAACCCGTTGCGGGCAATAGGCATGTGACTGAGCAGCTCATTCTCGAAAGACAACGCATCCGCAAGATTGCCAGGCCGGTTATGGAAGAAGCACCAAAATTCTCACATATTATGCTTAGCGCTGGCAGGAGAAGCACAAGATAACGACAATGCAGAACAAGACGCAGCAACCGACAGTAATTCGGATCTTGGTATTCGGGCGCATGTCATCTTGATGATCCCCTCCTCGCTTAGTGTGCATGGTTCGATGCTCGGTTGGTGTCGGCAATTGGTCGAATATTAGGCAATGGCATGTAACTTTTAGATCTCGTCGGATAGCTGTATTTTGGTGAGTTTTGCAATATGTGGAAGCTGTAGCGAGACGGGTGTGGCTTAAGGAAGAGAAAAGTGTCAGACCGCTTATTCGATATATGATCCCGAAGAGCGACCTGGGGAAACCCAGCCCTCAAGAGGTGAGGGTCACCTCGGCTGTCTGGGCGTTCAGAGCAACGGCGACCATGGTTATAAATATATAGCAAAGCAGAACCCGTTTGCGCTGCTGAGAGGCAGGGGCATTTGCCCAGCTGATCTTCATCCTTTCGACAGCAATCACCTGAGATAATGAAGCGAGAAGAGAATGAATCCGGGGAGGCTTACTCGGACAGTATATCTATCAAGGTTTGCAAATTTTCAGGCTATAAGAGTGGTAACGGCAATGGAGCAGCAAGTGGTATAGCTTCAGCAGACTGATTCTGAAACGATGGCTCATATCTGACTTTATCTGTGATGGTTTGTCTGGGTGACACCTGGCTTGTGCTGACGAAGCCTTCCCAGCCGGCGTTCATAGATGACATCCACTGCTTAGAACTGACTATCGGCACTGCTAGGCACGAACGGGCGAACATCGAGCAGGCAAATGCCGCGATAAGACAAACAGCAATTACTCATTTCGGCGATTGCTGCAAAGCATATTACACGGACGAAACACTGACCGAATCATCGACCGCCGACTAGAAGGTGCAGCGACAGAATAGCATTTGGCTGATACTCCGTCAACTGTCCTTGACGCGACAAGCGCAAAAACAGAAGCTCGACGGTAGTGACGATAGTGACGCTACCACATCCACCGTACGATGGCAGCTGAAAGAGGTGATGGTAGTTTTATGGGCATCGAACCGTCCGTTGAACTTCCCAGCTAATAGCAAGACCTTTCAACTAATCTCTTAGATCTAGTCCCAGAGCTACGCTGAAAGGCATACCATATGCCTGAAAGCTGAAAAGCACCTCCATTATTGTTATGGATATGAAGATTGATGGCGTCCTCGCAGGCGGGTTCAAAGCCATTTACGACCGGCCGCGGAGACTCTTTGCCTGAATATCGGGCTTTTGATATGCATCCCTATCCGATAGAAGGGGTTCATCAAGGTCTTTACCCAGATTTCGAAGACCTCGTTCATAAACTGCTTGATCGCCTCCTCCGTTTGAGGACTGGTCGGGTTGTGTGGGATAGAGGTGGAAGATATGGTAGAGGAGCGATTGGAGGAGGAGGTTGTTGGCGCGGTAGATGGCTGATGCAACAGCAAAAAGCGGACATTTGTACCAGCAAGGAAACAGCTGATGTGAGAGTTGGTTGGTGGGTAACTGTCGATGTGCTTCAGATACCTGAGAATCTGGTAAATAATACAGCCCACATACGCAGGAAGCAGCAAGACTTCGCAGCCAAATAATCTTGATACGCTTACATATTGTTGTGTAGCCATTGGACTTCCTCAACTACATCTAAAGACGCGTGAACAATAAATTGGTTCATGTAGCGGGACGTCTCTCCATTTCGAAAGCGTGCAACGCCATCACCACCAGCTTTAGAGGTACCAAAGGTGTGCTCAAATAGTGGCGAATCGGTGGGCGAGATGATCACGAAATAGTAGGACATTTCTAGCTGTGCTAAGTAGCATTGTCTTTTGGCATACGGAGTACAGTATGTATCAGTTACTACGTAAAGCAATCTTGAAGACAGTCGGAGGAGATCAGCCGAAGAACTGCCGATGGCCCATCTAAATGCATACAACATGTGTTATTTTTTGTAAAACCAGCCATATTTTCATGCGCACCTTCATTTTGCTGTAGACAGCCAGACAGGCTCAGTATGCCAGCCATTGCTTTTGGTCTGGGCTCGAAGGCAAAGTCTGGCCAGGCAAAACCTGCTATTGCTGGGCAGAAGCGAAAACAGAACCTGTTCGGTGACGATGGTGAGGACGACGATACACACCATGTTTCTGCCACCGAGAACGTGAGCGTACTTGATGATAAAGATTACGATACCCCTCAGCCGCGGAAGTCGCCAAAACTCAGCAATGGCGCTAGCACGGGTCAGAAACCCTCTCAGCAGTATACAAATCTATCCGCCCTTCATACCGCGAAAAAGCATACCGAGCAAGCCACTACGGTGGATACGACTATCTATGACTATGACGCTGTCTATGATAGTCTCCATGCGCCCAAGAACAAAGCTTCAGAAGACATCAAGGACGGCGTGCCAAGATACATGACGAATCTTTTCAAGTCTGCCGAGGTGCGCAAGCGAGATCAGTTGCGAGCAAAGGAGCGGCTACTTCAAAAGGAACGAGAAGCAGAAGGCGATGAATTTGCCGACAAGGAGAAGTTTGTTACTGGTGCATACAAGGCTCAGCAAGAAGAAATAAGGAGGCTGGAAGAAGAAGAGGCTGCCAGGGAGGCCGCAGAAGAGGAGAAGCGGAGAAAGGGAGGAGGTATGACTGGCTTCTACAAGGATTTGTTGAAGAAGGACGAACAGAGAACCATGGAGATCTCCAAGGCAGTGGAAGCGGCTGCGACGAGACCCAAGACTGAAGCTGATATCGAGGAGGCGTCCGGGGAGAAACCGATGGAAAAGTCTGCAGAGCAAATGGCAGCAGAGCTCAATGCCCGCGGCGCTAAGGTAGCAGTCAACGATGACGGAGAAGTAGTCGACAAGCGGCAGCTGCTCTCTGCGGGGCTGAATGTTGCGCCAAAACCAAAAACCGGAGCTTCACAGGGCAAGGTTGGAACCCAAGTTTCAAAGGCCGCGGAATACTCAAGATCGTCTGCTGCACTATCAGCCCGAGGTGCACAAAGAGAGCGCCAGACAAGGATGATGGCAGAGCAACTAGAAAAAATGGCGGAACAGCAGGCTCAAGCCGAAGCCGAAGAGCGGAAGGCACTCGAAGAAAAGGCAAAGAGTACAAAGACTGGCACAGATATCCTGAGTGCAAAAGAGCGTTATCTGGCCAGGAAGCGAGCACAAGAAACGGAGAAGGCAAACAAGTCTGGACCCTGAGGACATTGTCTTGCATGCTGCTGAGCAGTATTATTCATATCTCTTTGTCACGTGCAACCGCACACAACGCATTGTGTCCAGCGTGCATCTCCAGTTAGCCCTGACGGAAGTCTTCCACATTGGTAGTCGCTCGAAACTCCGTTTGGATCACAGCGAAGAGGCCTCCATGTGCTATTGAATGCCGTGCAGGGCAACTGAAGAATCTAATGCTGGCCTGGCGTCATTGACTAGCAAACCGAAGAAGGCTCAACACGCTTCCCCGTTTCATCTAGCATTTTCAGCCACGAAGCCTCCCCGAACAAGTTATCCGCAAACCGAGGTTGGCTCCTACTTTGGTTGAAAACCATAGCTGCTTCCAGAGTTTGTCATGGCTTTACCGCCGGGACAACACCTTCTCAACGGCTAGAATTCCGGCCCAAGCAAGATCGAGAATTCTCTTTAACATGTAGGTTACCTAGTCGTGTAAATTTTTGTGCTGCTTCTGATTGAGGTAAGGCTATGCCTGACATGAAAACGAAAAGAAGCCTTATCTAGCTCAAAGACGGTGTGATGTCCTAGACACCTCACTTGGCAGGCTCTTTCTTCGACACTAGGAAAGGAACGTGCCTTGCTGCATGCCACACGACATCTGTGCCCCGATCTTGCGAGTCACCCGCATGTGGCTACCCTGGACTACTTCTCCGTGGCCTTTCATGCTTCCTGTTGGCCACCAACCCGAAAAAGGTTTATAGTCGGGATAGACAAAATCTACTCGAGGACCCGTTAATTCTTTGACTGAGTTCCCGTCCGTATTGAACTCAAGCTCCGCGACCTATACAACCGAAATCAGTCACTCGATTGTAAGACGTACCCTGCGAGGCACCCACATATCGTTCTTATCATTCAGGTAATCCAAAGCATGAGATCTCTGAGACGGCACAACAGCATTTTTATCGGCGTTGAGTACTCCAGCGTCCCACCTGCTACGCGTATGAGTACGGTAGATGTTTCGAGTAAGAGCAGGGCAAGGCGCTTCGGCTGCACGCACAGCTCTCAGGGCACCGTGTTCGAACAGCATTTCTGCACACTGGTGACTGATCTCGTCGAGCCTCCTTGCCGCTACTTCGTCGTCCCGGTCCATACCTATTCGCTCCGTATATGCATCGTAATCGTCTTCCAAGCCTAGACGACTCATGGCATACCCGGAATCATTATTAATCTCTACGACACGCTTGAGCAACGCAGCTATTGCCGAAGACCTGAGTCGAGATTCAAAGCTTGGGAAGAGTCTGTGAGAAACTTCATAAGCGGCGTTCTTGAACTTAGCGAAATCCCGGTAGCCTGCAGGGAGTTGTATTTTGGGGACAGGCGTCGTGTTTGCTTTGCTGAATGTCGTGATGGGAGTGACGATATCGTGTCTATCTCTGAGATCGAACTCGTTGCTGTAAAGCAGTGCCAGACCTATTTGGAGGAGATGCTTGCAAGTGCGCAGGACTTGTAAGTGCGCAGGGCTTGTGGTGCGAGGCCATACTGGAAAGGTCTGCGGTCACGATTCTTAATGTACTGAGGGCATCGAGCACTGGATGGAAAAGGCTTATAAGGCCTGACAAAAAGAGGTTCTAAGATCATAACATATCTCGGTAGGGAGACCCAGCACTGACAAAATCTCTGGCATTGCGGCTGGGTGGCTTAGCTGGCAGGAATGTCAAGAGCGATAAGAAATGGCTCGGGTTGTTCTCAGGCAGAAGTGTGGCATTCGTTAAGCATGAGTCGACCCACCCGGATGGTGGTATCAGCTTGAAGATAGAATTTCGAACGCCTTGGGTCCCTCCCAGATCAGCTACAGCTGTTGCAGCCACTTGAGAGACAGGGGTCAGTGCCCCACAAAGTTGTTGAAATAATGCGTAAAACATCCTTTTGAACATTGAGCTAGGCTCCGAGCTTTGCTTCGCTTGAGCGCCCACAATCCTGGAAGTCGTACAATGACTCAAGTCATGTTAACCATGTCTTGTGCTGGCAATAAGCCAATCGTAAGCAACGTTCGCTGGATTGACTTAACAAGCCAGTCCGCCGCCTACAGAATACTCTTGTTTTGACACATCGCTAATCCGTCAAGTTCTCTGCTCTTCAACGAACCTCAAAGCCTCTTCTTTAGAAACTAGACCTATGCTGCTAGTCTTGTTTTTGTAGCTCACACCATAGCATTTTTCTGCGACTAGTAACATCTCTGGGCGGAAGGTTGTACATATGAACTGGCTGGCCCGTTCATCTTCTCGATTTTGTGATAGTGACTGTAGGTGCTGTGCTACTGCTGTTCGATACTGAGCATCGAGGTTGGCATCGATCTCATCGAAAAGGTGAAATGGTGCAGGGTCGCAAGCCTGGATGGCGAAGATGAGAGTAAGTGCGCAAAGACCTAGGGATTGAAGTGTTAGTTTTGGAAGATCACTGTTGTGCATGAACGGGAAGGGGCATTTCTCATGATCTTTGGTACATATAAGCCGGCAGACTTGAGAAAGGGACCTGAAAGCACATTCTTCGGTGTCAATTGAAACTGCTGGTACTTACTCTTTTGACCTCCTGAAAGCTGCTGGATCCGCTGCTGATCATCGTGTTTGCTGTTGAAACTGACGCTGATTCCTACGCCGGTATAGTTCTCTACAGATTTTCGGGCTTGCTCGTCCTCAGAATCTTCGTCGTCCGGGGCTGTGGAGCGGTCGGTTTTCCTCTGGATGATGAGTCTTCCGCGACCTGCAGGAACCAATTCTGAGAAAACGCTAGCGAACGCTTTCGACACCCCACGGAAGGTTCTTTCAATTGCCTATAACAAGTCAGCAGGATCCTCACGTGAGGCAGTCCCTTAGGAAAGCAACGTGGCAAAAACCAAGCATCTGGAGATAGCTTGTGGTTCGGATTGCGCGCGAGAACGACGTACAGTGTCTTTTCTCTGATCCAAAACCTCCACTAGATCCTCAATTGACTTGTGGCTATCCTCCAATTCCTTCCTCCGGTCGCGAAGTTCCGCACCTTGCTTGGTAAAGCTATTGTACTGCTCAAAAGCCTTTTTGTTCACATGACTAAATTGCTTCAACGACTCGTTCGTTTTGTGCAACCGCCTCATGACCGTGGCGGAGTCAAGGTTCTTGTAGCTCTTGAAAGCATCCTCAGCCAGCAAGCCAAGCCCACGGATAGCATCACTAGTAGCCTGCAATTGAGTCTGCAATGCCATTTTCTTCTGGGTTGATTTCTCCATCCTTCGTTGTTGTTTCTCAATAGTCTTTGCGAGGTCTTCTTGTTTCTTCCTTGTCTCTGCGATTCGATTTTCAAGTTTCCTAATCTCAGAAGCAGAACTTTCTAATGAAGTCTCGTTCTCATTCAAACGTCGAGACAAGGCATCGCCAACACCCGTCAGGCGTTTCAGGTCACGCTGGTGCTCCTTGAGGGTCCCTTTATCGCTATAATCCCCTTCGCGGTCAAGGTCTTCAGATTGTAGCTGCTCGAGCGAAGGCCTTAAATTGTCGTTGAGCTCGACTTCGAGGACTGACTTGCGTACCTCAAGCTCGCTTCGAGTGGCAGAGAGAGACACGTACTCCTCTCGAAGATTCTGTACTGTGGTAGTGAGCTGTTCAAGCTGATTCTCTTCTGCCTCAGTAAGCGCCTTTTTAAACTCTGTGGCAAGCTCGGCTTCGTGCGCGTTCTGCTGGTCGCTCAAGGCTCTGACGTTCGACTCGATGGTGGCCTTCGCTTGCTGCTTCTGCTCCAGGATTTGCCGTTTGTTCCTGAGAGAGGCAAGCTTGCTATTGAGCTCCTCTTTCAGAGGTTCATGATTGCTTTGTAGTTGTTGCTTTTGCTGCTCCAGCTTCTGTAGTTCTCCGACTGCTTTGGTTATTCTTTGGTCTAGCTGTCGCACCTCTCTCTCAATCTCCCCATCCCGAGCTCGGCTCGTCTCCAATTCCTCGCGCAACCTCATAACATTACGAGTGGCCTCCAATCTGGACGACCTAGGGTCATGAAAACCACCCGTGAGCGCGCCACGCTTCTCCACCGTATCTCCGAAGGGGGTGACAGCCTTGAGATGGTGGCTGCGGGCATACTGAGATGCCACGGTCAAGTTTGGGCAGATAATACTACTGGCGAGCACCTGCTGCACGGCCCTTTCGTACTGCTTTTCGAACTGAACCTTCGAAATAAGGGGAATGGCGTCTTGTGCCTGCGGGTAAGCTGGAATTTTTGGCTTTAGGCGGTTCAAAGGCATGAAAGTGACTCTGCCAGATTTCTCCTTATTCAGGATGTCGAGCACTTTGGTAGCTGTCTCATCATTATCGACAACACAATGAAAGAGACTGTTTCCTGCAATAACTTCAACTGCCGTACGATACCTCTCCGGCACATCGATCAGCTCCGCTAACGTACCGAAAACGCCCGGAAGCTGGTATTGCTTCTTGATACGGCGAACTGCAGCTAGGCCTCGGCTGGTATTACTGTCCATCATATGTGAAAGCTGGCGCTCGGCTTGTGCCAGCTCATCTTTGACACTAGCGACCACGGTGTCAGTCTTAGCCATCTCTCTCCAAAGTTCTTTTCTGTTATCCATGAGCCGGTCACGCGCCTCTTTCGCTGCCTGTATCTCTTGGTCGAGCTCTGATACAGCGTCGCCCCGACCAGAAAGCTGATTTTGGAGCTTCTCTATAGCAGGATCCGCGATCGCTATGTCCTTCTCAAGCTGTGCTATTTCCTCGGTCGTCTGCATTTTGACGGCCTTGACCTTGGACAACGACGTGAACGCGTCGTTGATCTGGTCCCGAAGCCAGTCATCCCGTTCCTTCTTATTCCTAAATATTGCATTGCGGCCCTGCTTCGTATACAATCTTTGTCGTGCTACTTCAGCTTCATCGAGCCTTGTTTTCAGATCCCTCTCTTGTTGGCGCTGATTATTGTACTCCGGAAGTAGCTCAGTGAGCTCTTTTTCACGCTCAGAGATAGCCTCATGCAGACGTTTCATTTCCGCATCATGTTTGGCTTTTGCTTGTTGAGATGCAGACTGCCCATCCGTAAGAGTCTTTATCTGCAGCTCGGTCTGAGCTCGTGCTCTCGCATTATCTCTCCGCTCCTCTTCAAGCTGTCGCTTGTCTACCATTAAGAAGTCCATCTGCTGCTTCAGGCGAGAGATTTCAGTGGTCATTTGTGTCATATCCTTCTCACCTTGCAAGAAAAGTTCACTGTTCTCATCCGTGCCGTCTAAGCCAGTTTGGCGCTGGTCCTCGATCTGTTCTAGCGCGGACGTTATCTCTGCTTGCTCTCGAGAGAATATAGTGTACTCGAGACAGCGCTTCTCTTTGTCCTTATCCTGGTAGCTTCGAAGCTCTTCTTTCTCTTGTTCGAGCTCAGCTAAGCGTGCGTTGATGAAGTCGAGAAGCTCATCAATCTTCTGGAGCTTGTTATTGGTCTCATTCATTATTTTCAACGATTCTGTTCGACGAGCTTCATAAACTTGGGTGCCAGCAACCTCTTTGAGCAGAGATAGTCGTTCCGAGTCCTTCATATTGGTCAACGCTGTTACGCGACCCTGAGGAACGATGTAGTATGGGTTTGAACGAGAGAACCCGGCGGATTCGAGAAGGTTCATCACATCTGCTTTTGTCGCGTTCTTCCGATCGAGTGAGTATTCATCCTTCTTCAAGCCTATCGTTCGTCGCAGGATTAATTCATCCTTGCCAGTCGGAAATCTGTCGTCGCTGTTGTCGAACACAATCTCGACGTAGGCTGACATGACTGCAGACCCAGAACCTTCCTAAGGAGTCTCAGCAAGCGACATACAAATGGATAGAATCTGTACTAACATGAAGAAGCGCCTGCCTCTCTTCTCGTCCCATCTGAGTGTAGGCATCACTGAGGACAAACTGTATTGCCTTGAAGAAGTTACTCTTTCCCGAGCCATTGCGCCCAACAATGACATTGTGCTTAGGGGAAAAAGGTTCAGTGACAGTTTGGTCTTTGTAACTGTAGACATAGACAATTAGCAGCGAGTACAACGCATTGGTAACTTTTCCCCTCACCTCTTAAAACCTTGAATTATGATTTGCTTGATGTGCATTTTGTAGGCGGAGGTTCTGAGATCAGCTGAAGATTAGTGGTGTGCAAAATGCCGTAAGCGACCATGTCGGATGGTAAATAGAGCGCCGCATACATATATTGGAGCGTATCATCTTTCTTTGAGATCTGCAACCTGCGACCCACAGACTACGCGTTAGCGATCTTACATAGTATTAGACGCGTCCAACCCAATTATCCATCTAAATTAGGCTTGGTGTGATAATTGCCAAGAAATAAACTTGTTACAAACATCATGCTGACAAGTCATTTCATTGGATAACTGACATCATTGCTGCTCCTGAATTTTCATAAGGGTATGTGTAAGTTGTTGTCTGTAACGTTGTGTTGCATAGGCAGCCCTTCCCAACACGAGCTTTCTCAGTCAAATGGCTACCCACGATAGTAATACCCATGGTCTTGCGGACGGGCAAAGGCCTACTCACACATTCATCCCTCACCAAGGTTACGTCAGATCTGAGGAGGAGGACGGTGGCGTACCAGTTAGGCCTCCCGCTGCGCGAGATGACGATCAGATTGAAGATGAGCACCAAGATGACTTGGATGATATTTTCGACGAAGAGGATGTCGATGAAGAAGATTTGTTGGCATCAAATCCAGGCAATCTAACTAAGTATTACAACAGACAAAGACGGTTACACGAGGCAGCCACTGATCTAAATGGCCCCAAGTCAAAAGCCCCGAAGAGCAATCCTCAGAAGCCGACTGCAAATACCTTCGCCTCTGTGGATGATCATATTGCATCACTTTCCAAGCATGCCTCAAAACTGAAGCTGGATGTCAAGCAATCTGGACTTGCAACCGGCCATGGTCGTGGAGCTGAGAAGAGTGACCGTGCTACTTCGGAGCAAGTGCTGGATCCGAGGACTCGTATGATACTACTACAGATGATAAACCGCAATGTTGTGGCAGAAGTACATGGAGTCATTTCCACCGGCAAAGAAGCCAACGTGTACCATGCAATCTCTTCATTAGAGGATGGCACAGAAGCCCACCGAGCGATAAAGGTGTATAAGACCAGTATCCTTGTCTTCAAGGATCGGGACAAATATGTTACTGGGGAGTTTCGCTTCCGATCAGGGTACAATAAAAGCAACAATCGTTCCATGGTCAAAGTATGGGCTGAGAAGGAAATGCGAAATCTCAAGCGGATTCACTCGGCGGGGGTACCCTGCCCTGCGCCTCTATATCTCCGCTTGCACGTCTTGGCCATGGCCTTTATTGGCGACAGGAAAGGTGTGCCTGCTCCAAGACTCAAAGACGTAGAATTTGCCGGATCAGATTCTGCCCAGCGATGGCGAAGGGTATACATTGAGCTTCTGGCCTACATGCAAACCATGTACCAGGTCTGCAGATTGGTGCATGCCGATTTGAGCGAGTACAATGTCCTATTCTATGATGACATTTCCTGGATCATCGATGTTAGCCAGAGTGTTGAACACGATCATCCAAGAAGTTTGGAGTTCTTGAGAATGGATATCAAGAATGTCAACGATTTCTTCAGAAGAAAAGAAGTTCATGTCCTAAGGGACCGACGTGTTTTCGACATCATCACTACAAGCTCAATTTATCAAGATTTGGCACAGACCAAGGAATCAATTGACAAGATCATGGCAACTCAAGTCGAAAAGGAGGACGGTGAGGATGAGGCTGACAATGAAGTATTTCGAAACCAGTTTATTCCTCAGAGCCTGCATGACGTCCATGACCTTGGAGAAGACGTCGAGCAACGAGGAGAAGATAGAAGGAATGATACGATGTACAAGGGTCTTCTTGCTGATGAAATATCACAGCGACCTGCTCAGGACGACTCGGATGGCAACCTTTCAGGGCCTGACAACGAGAGCGTCACTGACTCTGATGAACAGTCTGGTTCAGACTCTGAGACGAAGACACCAAGAGGTAAACGATTCCAAGACAAAGAGGCTAAGAAGGAACACAAGAAACAGGTCAAGGAAGAGAAAAGAGAAAAACGAAAGGACAAAATGCCGAAGCATATCAAGAAAAAATTGGTGAGCTCAACTTCGAAGCTTAAACATTAAGGCAGTATCAGTCAAGTGGACCAGACCAAGGGGTTGATACTGTTGAGACATTTTCTTAGCATACGAGGGTCGCAAAATGTGGAAAGTCTAATTGCTGCAGGTATGTCTCTTTTTCTTCTATTCGGTATGGTCGACTTTATGAAGAAAATGGCAACACTTGATTTGAATATTTGCATGGATGATGGCATCTTTTTCGAAGCCTCTGTAACGCAGATAGCCTGACACTTTTCGCGGTCGGGCCGTGATATCAAAAGAGAGCACAGATGCAAGTCGCTGGACAGGAAACTTTGATTGAAGGCATGACAGATCAACCATAGCTAACCAGGGGCATAGTCCATGTATTTTGTTACGCTCATGACTCCCGACTGGCAGCTTTCAACCGCCTCAGCGCCTCTTCGACTGTCTTTCGTGGGAGATCAGGCACACTCTCCCGAGCTTCGCCGATCCGCGAAATGGCATACTTAGGTGGAGGATCTGACAAGCCGGACCAGATATCCATTGGCAGATATTCCCCTTGATCAAGTCGGAACGCCTCTCTCTCTTCAACATCATCCTCATAGAGCTTTTGCACCCTTGAGTGGGCCTCCCGTATGACCTTCTCCATCTGATTCCGGACCGCCTTCCGCCTGGCCACTTCCACAATCAGTCCATCGTACGCGCCCAGAAAATTTTGGTAGACATCCCTCAATCCCTCGAGACCTACTATCCCTTCTTCGATCTTGAGCTTCTCCTCGCTCCAGCGGGCCACAAACGTCTGACTCTGGATGATGTAGCCTGGCAGTTTTGTGCCAACTTGCTCAAGCAATTTCATAGCTGCCATGATATCGTCATTTTCAGTCTCTTTCTTCTCCCGCCACAGCTGGACATGATCTAGCTGAGCCTCCATTTGAGAAATGCGATCCTGAATCTCGATTACCACTTCCTCGACCTCTGCAGCGTCATTATCCAGCACCGTCATCATATCCTTCTTCTCGTCCTCGGTGATAGAATTTGCTGGAGCCTTAAAGTCCTCAACCCTCACACCTTCAGGTAGCTCATCCATCTCAAGGTTCTTAACTACCGCAGCTCCGCCACCCTCTGTATGCTGGATCGCGGTGACGCACAAGTCAAAATGCTTGACAAGGCTTTCTAAGCCCTCTGCCATCTCTCTTGCGTGATTCTCCAAGGCTTTCACAGTTGCTGGGATATTTGGTGGTTGAAAGGTCGAGCTCGCTGACGAGGAAGTTGCCGTCTTCCCTGCCAGAGCATTGTTGACTGTTTGCAAGTCTTCCTCAAAATCCTGCAGCGATTGATCCATCTCCCCTTTTGCTTGCTGGACCTTATCGATGGATGTTTTGATGTTATCCTTTAACCTGTCAACGGGAGCCACATCAACAAAATCATACAGGGTCTCTTTTGTCTCAGCTGGCAAGTCGTTCTTTGATGAAACGCTGGTCTTCAAGTCCGTGTCACGAAATCCCGGCTCTAATTTTGTACCCTTCAACCTATGGACCGTTTGTTCCAGCTTCTTGCCAGCATCGTCCAATTCTTTCAACATCGAGCTAAACTCTGCTTGACTACTATGAACAACATCTTCTAGCTCAAACTGCACACCGCGTAATATCTTTGACTGTGATGCCAACGATCTCTGCAGGAACGTGGTGCGGGCAGCGAGAATGGTAGTTGACTCCAGGTCCGCTCGTGCCTTGGATAGGATGGTAGTGGCGCGGTGTACATGACGAATGCTTGAGAGCGATCTCTTAGATGCCAGTAGATGTGCTATCAGGCTCTCAAGCTGATTTGTTGGTTTCTGTAGCGAAGCAGAAGGGGATGGGTTGTGGGACAGATGCGCAGCGGATCCACGTGGAGATGGAGTCGATGATGCCATGACGGCCAACAAAGCTAGCGGAATCTACATATATCGTGATTCCTCACATTAACTAGTGGGAAGGCCGGCTAGCATATGCATTTCAATGACTCAGATAGCTTGAAGATGATCAAATAGACTCAAGGACTAGGGGTTAGGAGCAAATCCTATTCGATATGCCCCTGTCAATGCTGCGCACTGTATGCAAGCTAGTCGCAGAAACATGCTTCTCGACCTCTGCAAGAAGCAAGGAGATATTGCATGATTGCTGCAAGCCATAGGCGTTGGAAGATGTGAAGGATCGGATTGCCTCACTCCCTCAGACAGGCTTAGTGGGCATAGCCACATACGCCATGCTCGAAATGAGCTAGTCGTTGACTAAGCAGACATCACAAAGCACGGCTGAGAACTGAGGCATTTATCATTAAGATTTTAACTAGATAAATTTAGTGTAGTTGGTATTTAAAAGCGGGATAGCTATTAAATTTGTGCCTTTTTGTCATGCGCCTGCTATACGCCTGCCAAGCGCCTGCTGTGCGTCTGCTGTGCGTCTGCCGTGCGCCCGCCGTGCGCCAAATAGAGGCCTTATAGCCGTCTGCAGGATATACATAGAATCAACACACTTCCATGACACGATTTCTGCGTCTTTTCTGCGCCTTTTCTGCGCCTTTTCTCTATCCCTTTTCGTTAGGCCGTGGCCGTCTAACACCTTTGGCCCGCAGGCGTAAACGCAACACCAACATCCATTGCTCTGTTTCATAAATATGCTGAAGGGGAGTTATGCCGAACAGTGTGTGAGTACTATTCTTCGATGAATCGAGGGCACTGACCTAGATTCTGATCTTTGGCCTTCAATAGCTCACTGGCGGGTATACAAGCGGTGTCTATCTTCCTGATTTGACAAACACTGACAATTGGAAGACTAAACACAACGTACTCAGACACCAAATGCCACCCTTTTTGGTCAGGCTGTTGCTGCGCCGTTGACCATCTGTGTTACTGCTAACTTGAACGCATGTTATTGGATACTCACCTGTGACGGGCGTCTGGCCAGACTGCATCTCGCGCCCTGTTCACTTACTTCATAGACGTACCGGTCTACGGTGCGAGGTGCATATTCAATTATTAAGCCGCCCCTATCAACAAGGTCGGCGGACACGTGGACTTCGTTCAGCGAGATGGAACTCGTCCTCTACAAGATCAATCTATATTGCATGAAACCTTAGTAGAAAGACAAGGAAAAGCTCCGCCTGCCACCTTACTTACGTCTCTCCATTCGCACACGGTGGTCACCATCTGGTCGCAACGTGCCGCCGCCGGCCAGCCTCGACTTCACACCCGGGAACTTGTCTGTCCGTTTCCCCTTCCCGTCAAGGTATCCTACTTTCTCAAAATCGTACATGCGTAACAGTGTCGCCACGGTCACGAAGATCTCCTGTTTCGCAAAGAAGCGCCCGGGACACATTGGTTTACCACCGCCATACGGCGCCCAGCGGCCCGGCATGCTCCCCAATGAAAACGTCATTTCCCCTTTCTCATCTGGCACTAAAAAGCGCTCTGCATCGAACTCATCTGGCGGTACCACGCCCGGCCATGCTGCGGGATCGTGATGCACCGACCAGGTCGGCACGTGCAGAACACCACCCTTGGGCAACTGCACTTGCGGCGTCCCATCGCCGCCGTGCCCGATCGGCAGGGTGAGGTCGGTCTCTAGATATCGTAAAATGATTATGTCGACGTAGAGCCGCAGCACCTCGGCATACACGCTTTGTAGTAGCGGCAGCTCCGTCAGACGCTTCACGTCTGGAGTGCCGTCTGCGGCTACTGGCACGCTGTCCACCTCGGCCCGTACCCGGGGCAGTAATGTCTGGTCTTGGTCAGTTCGATCGACGAGGTGCATGAGTATCCACAGCGTCGCAACCACCGTGTTCGTGTTGACAGCGAGGAGCAAGCCTAGGCTAGACGGGGCCATACGGTGCGGCGTCATGCCATAGTCAAGCTGGCGACGAACGAACGCGCGGACTACGCGGGAGCCCAAGTGTGGTTCCCACGCAGGGCCTTTGACCGGATCCGGGATCTCGCCTGATGTGGCCACCAGGGCGCTCGCCAGCCACCCTTCCACACTGGCCAGGATTTTGTCCCGTGTGCGGTGCGCCCTGGGTGCCAACCAACGGGGCAAACCCCAGAGCAGTTCCGCGAAGGCTTCTTCGAACGCCTCATAATCTGCTGGTAATGTTGGGTTCATGCTTAGAAGGTCGCGTCCCATGATTGTCAGGGTCGAGGCATGGAAGACTTGCGGCCAAAGCCATTCACAGAGAGAAACTTCTCGGGCGACTTCGCTGCCGCTTGTTTCCTCCGAACCGTTTATATTAAAGGCCGGATTCGTAAGCACAGAGCGTAGCTCTGGAGTGAAGGTGGTTATCAGTTCGGCGGTGCGGTCGGCACGCAGCAGATGCTCGCCAAAGATCTCCTCCTCTGGAGTCCGGCCCTTGTCCGTGCGGAGAGAACTGTGATTCGCGTCCCGGATCTCGACGCCCAAAGCGTATACCGCCACATCGCGCGAGACGAGATGGCGGCCCAGGGTGCGGTTGTTCGTCACCGCAGCCATGCTGGCGGGCGTGAGCAGGACGTGTTGGTCATGTCGCCCGGCGATCATCAGGCGACAGGCACCGCCCGCTGCCGCCGGTAGGGCCTTCCCGAGGCGCTTCCAGAAGGCGCCGGGCGCACTCATGAGGAATCCCAGGCTGTGCCCAACAAAAGGGAGCATGTAGGGAAGTGGCAAAGTCGGGAGAACGCCCAGCGCTTTTTGGCCATGTGGGGACACGGGGTGGGCGCGATATTGGCGAAGAACGAGGTGGTAGCGGATGGTGGAGACGACGTAGGTACCGATCACCAGCAGCGCGAGGAAGACTAAGGGCATCCAGATGGACGGGCGAACCTGCTGGATCACTCGGAGGGGCATTGTCATTGTCGCTTCCAAGGAGGGGGTGGCCATGGTTTGTGGAGCTCTGAGTTGGGCTTCCTGGGTTATCGAGATAAAGGAGGTTCTTCTCCTGGCATTCTTGAGACTTTTGTGTGCTTGAAGAAGTGTAACTATTAGGACTCTGATCGGATGGCCGAGGCTCCGTCTTCTTACACGGTCGTATGTATCATAATCAATTTGAAGATTGTTAAGCATATGGGCATTTGGTCAATGCTAAGAAAGGGCTCTTGTCACTTCGGCACTCATAGACAGTTCCTGATGGAAACCTCTATCAGTACGGTCTGACAGAAGTCAGCTACTATCCTCGTATTCATATGCATGCTGCTGAGTCGCCCTTAATGCAATTTGCATTATAACGCATTCCCCAGTCCATGTCAGAGCAGACTCAGAAAACCAATTACTCCGGATACCAGGTTCCTTGGGAGGTGACATCAAGCGTGATATACCACAACATAATGGTGTGAGGATTGGGTAGCTTTAGGAGTAGCTTTATCCCTCTTCAGTGGATAGATGTGTGACAATCTGCATCTTTATCTCGCTTTAGTGGATAGATGTGTGACAATCTGCACGACATGGGTAGAAAGCAAAGTTGTTCCATCTAGCAGGAGGGGGGGGAGCGTACGTAGATAGACGTACAAATCGGCTGTACGGCACAGCGAAATGGCAGGAGAAATAGACTAATCAAACGCAGGCGAAACGTAGGGGCTTCGCGTAGAATTATTGACACATATCTAGCGCCATCATGGGCACCAACTACTCTGTATGCAAGCTAAGATCCGGAGATTCAACCGGTCTACTAGTCGACGCGAGGTCAATCCTTATCGTTGTGATATTCAAGCTAAATCTGGGCGCCGGCTTACTACTAGTAGTACTATTTCTAGGTACTAATTTAGTAATCTGACAGGCATGGCATAGCTGGCCAAGTCCTGCAGTGTCACATACTACGGTAAGACTCTTTGCTATATTGGTGTGGCTACTTGTAACTAGGAAATCAGATGCCCTTTTTACTTCTGATTTCACATTGTGACAGCTGTCTGACAACATGTTGACCTAGGTGGCGAGGGAGGTAGGTCTCCTGGCTGAAGGAAATATCTAAGGCTCCAGAGACGGGACTGTTAATTGGAGCGCTCTATTTGGGGAACTGCCACTGCACGTAACAACATCAATTCCTAGTATTGCGTTATTATCCTTGTCCTGTGATCAAATACGGATGAGCCTTATCTCCGCTCGTCTTCACCACGGGCAAGAAAAGAACCGAAATAATTCCGTGACCAGGCCGTTCAGGCATCAGAGCTTCGCTCAACTGGTTCATCCACCCCACAAGAACCCCACAGGACAATATTTGCCTTCGGACCCCGAAGATGAACCTTCACACCACTTCCCCCGAACCGAGCTGGAAGCGGCATGCACGACATGTTCCAGGCCTTTCGTGCAGAGGCCGTGATAGGTAGTTGGCGCTCTACGTATTTGGTGGTCCCTACCTTACTACAATCCTGTCCCCCACCATGAGCGGCCCGACCAGTCCTGTTGTTGAAGTATATACTGGTATAGAACAATCTGCTCCATCAACTCTGGGCACAAACATTTTTTGGCAGTGCTCACTCTTTTCTGAGCAATAGCCGTCTAGGCCTCTTGTCCCGTCCATGGTCATTCCAGCTCGTGTCATTCTACCCTCTGTCAGTCTTTCTTTGCATTGGCTCAAGCAGCCCCTCTGGCCGTTATCTATCTCTTCCTACCAGGCCTATTTAAAACTTGGAAATGACGGAGAAGTCAGGTCTTGTGGGAACAGCCCGGGATTTGGGGCTCGTCGATGGCATCCTGGACGTCACTAGGACTCTATCCCTCGCAGAGAAACACGCTTTTGGTCTCCAGAAGCCCGACGGTGAATGGTGCGCTGAGTTTAAGACGGGCATATTTTCTCTTACCGAGCACATTTTTTTCTGTCAAATATGGGGCATCGATAAATCTGCCGATGCAGGCCTCTTTCAAAAATTTCTGCTCTCTCTGCAGAATTCTGACGGGTCCTGGAGCGCAGCCCCAGACTATCCTGGCGAGGTTTCGCTAACGGCGGAAGCCTACCTGGCCCTTCGTATTCTCGGCGTTGAGGCTGATTGCACAGAGCTTCTACGAGCAAGACACTTCGTTCGAAATGCCGGTGGCTTGGCCAAAGTTCGCATACTGACGCGCTTTCATCTTGCCCAATTTGGGCTCTGGCCTTGGACCGCGGTGCCGCAGCTGCCTCCAGAGCTTATTTTGCTTCCTTTGCAGTCTCCAATCCATATCTATAAATTGTGGTATGTGGCACGCGCTACGATCGTGCCCATGGCCATTATACGGCACCACGAGCCAATCTTTGCGCTCCCAAATGGCAAGTCTGCAAGCAACAACTACCTGGATGAGCTCTGGTTAGACCCGCAGCACAAGTCGGTCCCCTATGGCCGTTCGTTGCTTGATCTCTCCAAGAACGACCCCGTTGGCTTTGCTTTCCATGCTGCCGACCACCTGATGCACACCCTTCGAGTCGTGATGCAGTACACTCCAATGCGGTACCTTGCTCGGAAGCGGTCGGTCAACTGGATACTCGAACATCAGAGCGGGGACGGCACCTGGTTTGGCTACTTGACGGCCATGCATTGTTCCATGTCAGCTTTGTTGCTTGAGGGCTTCACCACGGATGACCTTCGCATTCGTCGAGCTCTCACCGCCATGGAGACTTGGATGTGGGAGGATGAGCAAGGCAAACGCATCCAGTTGTCCACCAGCCCCCTCTGGGACACTCCCATGATGATCAGCGCTCTCTGCATGTCCGGTGTTCGGCGCGATGACTACCGCTTGCAGCGGGCTGCAGAATGGTGCAAGACGCAACAGATTTTCGGCTCCGACACCGAAGTAGCTCGTTACTGCCCAGACTTGGCTTCTGGTGGTGGATTCGCCTTCCAGTACCACAATCCCTGGATCCCGGACGTCGACGACACCGCGGCAGTAGCATTGGCCTTGTACGCCCAGGATGATGGCGCGCTCGAAAAGTACTCCTTCGTTCGTGCCGCCGAGTGGGCGCTGAGCATGCAGAACAAAGATGGGGGTTGGGCCGCATTTGACCGCGATTGTGATAACACCTGGCTGCATAAATGGTAGGCTTCTTGCTTGCTTCCCCTTCCTTGGCCCGAACGCAAAGCTGACAGCTTTGCCGCCCATTCAACGACATGGACAATCTAGCCGTCGAGCTTTGCAGCGTGATAATCCACAACGCCGATTCTGCCCAGGGGCGTCCGCCCACGCACCTCGTACAACGCGCGCAGCATGCCGTTCCGCCCGCTATCCGGTTTCTCACCAAGCTACAGGAACCGGATGGCTCCTGGTGGGGTCGCTGGGGCGTCAACTATGTATTCGGCACGATGAGCGCTGTCAGCGCGCTCAAAAAGTTTGCCGAGCCAGATTCCAGCGGTGGCGCCATCACAGACATGGTCCGCCGTGGCGTCGGTTTTCTGCTCAGGGTGCAGCATCTCGACGGTGGCTGGGGCGAGAGCGTCGCGTCGTATGAGCTTCCACCACCGCCAAAGGACACGGGTGTCTCGCTGCCGTCATCCACGGCGTGGGCGCTCATGGGCCTCCTAGCTGCTGGAGTCTCGCCCATGGACCGCGCAATCGTAGCCGGTGTGAAATGGCTCGTTTCGTGGCCGGAGAGGCTGTATACGGGGACGGGCTTTCCTCGAAAGATTTACATCGGCTACTCAGATTACCGGCACTATTTCCCTATGATCGCGCTGGGCCAGTACGTACGTGCCGTGGCGGCGTTGAATAATAAAGACGAGGTGCCAGTCCTCAAGAATTGAGACAAAGTGAGCTTATGAGCTGATATTTTTGGAGAATGTTCCTACCGTTCCTAGGCATTACGAAAGTCTTACAAATCCTTAGAGTAGTATCGAGAGTTGCTGGCGCCGCGTTCTCAAATAGAAACAGCTGGTATGGACTCAATAAATAAAATCATTAGATGTACTCTCTGTCAACATCATACTGAGCTTCATCTGATTTTATAGATATAGATATACAGCAATATAGATTTGAATTGATAGAGTTGACTCAGCACAGAGCAAATTCTCCCATTCTCAAGGAGTCTCATATACTTAGAATTTATATCAAAAGAATCAGACGAAGCTCAGCATCATGTTAACATAAGGGCTTGTTTGATCTTAGTACGTAGAAGGCGTGCAAGAGCTGTTTTTGTTCGAGAACGCAGCGCCAGCAACTCTGCACCACCTCCTCATTTTCGCAAGACTTTCGCAATGCACAGTACTCCAGATTGCGCGTTGCGAAGTGGTTCCATGTGGTCCTCGTATTGGATTAACATCGGCCCCACTGTTGAGCAGGAGGCGTACGATTTCTATGTTGTCGTTAACCATTGCCGCCCGCTGCAACATGGTTCTCGGTTGTCCATCACGAGCGTTGATGTCGGCGCCGTCATTTAGTAAGCTTCGTACAGAGAACAAGTCTTTGGCTGCTACGGCGTCGTGTAGTCGAGTGCTACGCAGCTCGTACATAGCCCCCCATAATCATAATCGGAAGAGTCATCATCATATATATCCAATAGTACTAGCTCTGCTCCTGAGGTTGATTAAAGTTTTGCACGCCATTTTCCAATCCCCCTGATGAAGTGGATGAGTGGAATTCTATCTACCTTGCAGAATTCTATCTCTAGAAGGAGGAGAGGCTAAATACACTGCGGAGTGGCACGTGCGCAGTCACGTGACATATGAGGCCAGGGATTGGCTGACGGCCAATTCCAACAACCCCGAATCTAGTTAAGTGAGTGGCGGTAAGCTCCGCGGGTGACACACAATAGCACGGCAGCTTGGCCCAAGTGCATCCGCAATATCGCCCCCCTAGCTCGTCATGCGCTAATTCCTCATATTCTTCCCATCTTACGTGCGAGCACACACGACAGGGATTTAACCGCATAGCGCTTGGATTCCTCTCAAGCACTCTTTAAATGAACTCCTGATACTTTGCGACCTCATCCCGTATGCTGTACTGTGCACGTTTAGCCCATTCTCCAACCTGTCAAGACCCTGAGCACCAGTCTGTTGGAAATGATCAGAAAGACGTTAGGGACTCGATCGGGACCAAAACCACAATTACGTACGCATCGCACTTGCAATGTCGAGCAAACGCTCAGGCGCGAGCGATGTGGAGGTCGAGTTCTCTCAGCCTCTTGCAAAGCGCAGGCGGTCAGGCGGCCGCAGTCTTGGACAGATCGATATCCCTGATCACATAAATGCCTTGAAGCAGAATGGGAACATCACGAAGGCAGAGAGTGGCTGTCACTCTCCCGACGACGCAAAAGACAAGAGTGTTACAATTGCCTCAACAGCAAAGTTCGCTGATCAGACCATTGCACCATTCCTCACGCGACATATTCCCGAACAATATGCGCCCCTGGGTGGTCCGATCAGCAGTCAGAGAGGCCCTTTAAGAGATCCAAACTCAAAATTCTGCTACCGTCACAGACCCGATCTTCTTTGCAGGCGACAAGCTGATGAGCCGTCAATGGATCAACTACAAAAGGCAAGATGAGCCACTATCAGCTATCTGAAGATGGAGCTAACCAGGAAGAATAGGACCTCGACACACTGTCACAGGACGACCGACAGGGTATTGCTCATGTCTGGTCACTTTTCTCTGCTGCTCCTTCAAAACACCGAAATCTAATGCTCCAAGGCATCTTAGCGCAATGTTGCTTTCCTCAATTATCATACCTCTCTGCTAGCGTTCGGGACCTTCTGAAAATCGATTTCTTGTCGGCATTGCCACCTGAAGTCGCCTTCAAGATACTGTGTTTTCTCGACACCCCTTCACTCTGCAAAGCAGCTCAAGTGTCACGACGGTGGCGGCAGCTCGCGGACGATGACGTCGTTTGGCACCGTATGTGCGAGCAACACATTGACAGGAAGTGTACAAGATGTGGCTGGGGCCTTCCCTCAATGGAACAGAAGCGCTTGAGGGCCTCGAGAAGACAGATTCAATTGAGAGCCGCGGGTCGTGGAGTTAATGACTGGTCACCGGACATAACACCTAACCCGGAAGCTCATCGGGAATATCTGAGCAATGGGACGGGCACAGAGGCCATCCTCAGCCAGGGGGAGAGTGAAGACACCAAAATACAGACGTCGCCTTTACTAACAAGAACCAACTCACCGAACCAGCCTTCCCAGAGTGATTATCTTAGGAAATTTAGGCCTTGGAAGGACGTCTACAAGGATAGATTTAAGGTTGGCACTAATTGGAAGTATGGCAGGTGCTCCACCAAGATCTTTCGGGGTCACACAAACGGGGTGATGTGTCTGCAGTTTTTCGACAACATCCTTGCCACTGGTTCGTACGATGCAACGATTAAGATTTGGGACATGGAGACCGGAATGGAAGTGCGTACCTTGAGAGGCCATCTTGAGGGGGTACGCTGTCTGCAGTTCGACGACACAAAGCTCATCAGTGGTAGCCTTGATGGCACGCTAAAGGTCTGGAATTGGAGGACCGGAGAATGTCTGTCGACGTATAGTGGTCATGATGGAGGTGTCATTGGCCTGCACTTTGATGGAGACCTTCTAGTGTCGGGCTCCGTCGACAAGACCATCAAGATATGGAAATTTCGTGACAAGTCGATCTTCACGCTACGTGGCCATACAGACTGGGTCAATGCTGTGAAGATAGACGCAATGTCTCGCACAGTCTTTTCCGCCTCTGATGACCTCACCATTCGCCTTTGGGATCTTGATACGAACAAATGCCTACGTATTTTCAACGGTCATGTTGGGCAGGTCCAGCAAATCGTTCCACTGCCTCGTGATTTTGAGGTCGACAATCGCGAAGCAGATACCTATGTGGATGATTCAGGCACCCAGTCAAGTACAGATGAGGTGTCCAGTCAGGAAGCGGCAAATTGTGTAGCTTCGGCTGCAAAATCACCTTACAACAATACTTTCCACTACAGCAAAGATCGAATTGCGCCGCCTTGCTATATACTCACAAGTGCTCTGGACTCAACCATTCGCCTTTGGGAAGTACCGACTGGAAAATGTGTCAAGACATTCTTTGGCCACGTGGAAGGTGTGTGGGCCCTTGCTGCCGATGCACTTCGTGTTGTTTCCGGAGCTGAAGATCGTATGGTCAAGGTCTGGGATGCTAGAACTGGCGCTTGCGAAAAGACATATACTGGTCATGCGGGACCTGTCACTTGCGTTGGGCTTAGTGATAGTCGAATGTGTAGTGGAAGCGAAGATGGAGAGGTGCGGATGCATTGCTTCAAAGATGAACCGGCGCTCTGATTTGCTATGCTAGCTTGTGATTTGACGCTGTTGGGCCACAAATTTGGATCATCACCGATATGGCAGCATGGCGACACGGATTTTATTGCTTACATCCTTGGGAGCGAGCAGAGTTTTCAAGCCTGAGATACCCCTGAATTTGAATTGAGACATTCCGACCAACATTGAGCACGCATATTCGCACCTTTTCTTCTTGCTTCTAGGTTTGCACCCGTCGATTCCATGTTTCATTCCTCCAGAGTAGGTCAATCCTGTACCGTATCCTTTTCGCGTCTTGTTCGTTCATTTCAAAGTTCCAGCCGTTTGTGGTGCTTTCAGGAGCTTATTGACTGATTTCCGAGCTGGATGAGATGCATGAAACGCTGATGTTTCTCCATTCACGGTGCTAGAGTCACCACGTTCGTCACTACAACCCTCTGAAGTCTTCACGGTTGGTGCGTCAAACGGCCATGCTGTTTTATCTACCCTGCTTCATTACTGCATTTTCTCTTCGCCAATGTTCTCTTGCTTTTTGTTATCCATTATCGTTAGTCAAATATGAAAGAAGGGATTTGTCCAGGTGCACTTTCTCCCAATTCCTCCTACCGAGTCAGCACGCGTATCACCGCTGGTCCATTGAAAGCTCAACATCCTTGGTTGCTGTCGCTTGAGAAGGGATACGGGCGGCTCGGATGGCGGAGCCTTTCAATGCTCATGATATTGTCCATAGTACTCGGAACGGTGGTAGCGGTGCCGCTTGTTGTTACGAGGCTAGGGTCAGGTCCGGTGAGTAGCCCTATATGTCTCTCAGGAAGACGATGAAAACCTCGCTATAGGAATCAGGGGTAACGTGTTCCAGGAGCCAGATCAATTTGCTTTTCTGTCAAGCAGCTCCAGCCCTGACCCTTCACCACCGACTACTGCTGGCAGTAGCTCGATCATTTCACTTGGCCATCAAGAGTCTCGGAGTTTTTTCGCCTCGGCGAGCTTGATAAGCCTCCAAAATGCTTTCTCATCGTCACTGCTCAGGGCACACAATCCTGATCCAACAATAACGACTCACGCAGTTGTCCACCTTACCACGAACCATGCAAAATGGGCATCCATTCCTCCTGGCACGCAGGTTACGCAGCATACCACCATTAGATCGGCCACCAGTAGCAGCACAAACGCCTCATTTATCTCAATCACATCAATCCCTGGTCCCGCTCCCATAAAAGCTCAACAAGCTCCTCCGTTCATTTCCAACCTCCACAGTATCCCACACCAACCAGACTTGCCACCTAGCCACAAAGATCTTCAACCATCAATAACCGCTCAACGTGGTATCACTGCCAACCAGACAGTGGACAGTGCCCACAGCCCTCACCGGAGATCTGGGAAACGCCATTCTGGTGACCTGAAGATTCTGACTGTCCAACCTGAAAATAGTTCTGCAGCACGGAGATTTTCAACGCCGGTCACGATGCTGAATGCCATGATCAGCGATGCGCATAGGTCGATTATAAAGGCGCTGCGTGATAGCGGTCGACGATTACGGCTTTGTGCGCTCGTGGGATGGGATTTGTGGTTTGGGGTCTGAGAAGAGAGCGAGAGAGCGTACCGGGACACGAGTAGCGGGATCCACTCTGTTATCATGCAGAAGGGGACTACGAATGCAGCGGATATGCTGGACAGTCGGCGTTGGGTACTAGTATGTTGTGTAACGGAAGTCGGAATCTGGAAGGTATTTTAGTAGTGAAATATCAGATATTCGTGTGCAAAGGTGGAGCTAGCGAGGCTACCGAGATCGAGCTATTTGGAAACCCTTTTCCTCTTTAGGATAGATGGTGAAGGCCCAATTGTGGAGATAATTAGTGGCATACCGAACTGCCTGTTGTGGAAATCTCGTACTACGGGGTCTTTCATGCACGAGTCGCGCGGAGGCGGGAACTAGCCTATGATCTCGTCCCCTTCATAGGATTTTGAGACCCGAAGAGACTCGGATGGGGACGCCGTTCTTCTATATCTTTTAGCCAGGAATACTATCTATGTCTTGCGTGTACTAAGGTCTGGCTTCCTCCAGTCGATCTAGGCAACGAGGGGACAAGTCTCCAATTCCGCTTATGACTGTCATCGCCCCCGCTCAGTTTGTACACCCTCCCATCCCAAGCACCCAGCTTATGCCCGCTCTCTTTGCCCGCCGAAGCCAGGATCTCCATCTTCCTCCCACTCAGCGTTTCCAGAATAGGGATGTTTTGTTGCTGGCCTGTGAATTTCAGCACAATGAGTAAATTCTCTTCATCGCCTTTCTTCATACATGTACATGAACAGTTCCTTGTTATCCGTAACTGGAATCTTAAACCTGCCATACACAAAGGAACTCTCATGCTCGCGGCGCAGCTTTATCATGCTCTTTCACATCCTCGAAACGCCCTCGTCAGCCTTGAGCTCCACTTCCACGTTAACCTCCTTATAGTTCTCATTCATAGATACCCACGGTCCCTGGGCCGCTGTAAACCCAGCATGTAGCTTCGACCCACTCCACCGCATCGGCGTCCTCGCATTGTCGCGGCCGAATTTTGCGATGGCAGTTTTGACCTCCCGCAGCATTTCCGTGTCGGTGGGATACTCCTTGTTCATTTTCGTCCGATAATTCAAGGCGTCAACATTGCAGATCTTATCCAGGACCCAACCAAGAGAGAAATTGGTCATGCTTATCTTCTGCCTTTGGTAGAGGAAGAGGGTGCCGGAGAGGGTAGCAAGGAATAAGGCCGTGAGCCGGCCGGCTTTGGCGCGGTGTGGTGGGTCGTTGGTCACGTATGTTGGGATACTGCGAGGCAGATCGTGGTTTTCGGCGAAACAGGCTGGCCATGCGTCTGTTTCGCCGATGATCCTTTGTGTTTTCAACACTGCTTCTTTGAAATCCGGCAGTGCCCATGACTGGATCTCATACTTCTGCACAAGGCCTCTTTCACCGAGGAGACAGATATCGAAGTCCAGGTTCATGCTCAACTCGTTTGACGCTGCAGAGATATATCAGAAGGGTTCTTTCTGATCTGCCAATCCGCATTCTCCCACCATCATCACGACGCCATATTTGCTTAGGAATTTATCGTTGATCTCTTTGAGAAATCCGTGTATACGAGGACCGTGGATTACCCATTCAATAGGTTTTGGGTATTCGTCCCCATTATCGGATCCCTTGACGTCAAGGTATTGCTCACTGTAGTGTATCCATCAAATCAAATAAACCAAACCATGACCCTCGTTTGATTTGATTAACTCGTTCCAGAGGTTGATGTGATTTGAATCACTTTCAAATGGAGTCAGATGTTAGTATGCACTATTTTATGAAGAGGACTGTGAAGGATTTCCGGAATGTCTTCGGACAGGTCCATTCAAAAAGGTCCATTCGGCAAAGGTCCATTCGGCGTTTGGATTTGGTTGGGGCCTTGGCGTGACGTAACAGTAGTAATTTGTATGTAGCATTCCTGCCCTAATCCCACACGCTGCCACTGCTTCAATATTGTTTATTTGAGCTCGCTCCTGCTTCCTAAATAGGTATTGAGATAGACATCCTTGGTGTTGTGAGTTCTCGCTATGGCCAGTGCTCTCTGGACTGCTCATCCTCATTGCCCTGCCCATCTCCGCGGCGAGGTTGAAGCTCGCGTTAGAGCGCTGCCTCCTGCCTTTCTGGAGGAGCCCACTGATGGTGAGGTCTTTGACAATGTAGAGCTCTGTCGAGAGCGCCTTCAGGGCTTTGCTCTGAGCCAGGGCTTTGCTGTAGTGCTGGTGAGCGGCAGTATGAAGCAAGCTCGTCCTCGCTTCTATTTTAAATGTATCCATCATGGAAATTCGACTCGAAATACAAGGAATTTGGAGGAGCACGTTCAGAGGGATGAGGAGGGCGATATTACTACTCGTCGTAAGCAAGAAGCAACTAGTATCAACGCAAGGAACTGCTCTTATTTCATGTATCTTGCGTTCAAGCAAATTGGCAAGCGTGGATCTTGTGAATTTGGTCTCGTATTAAGCGCGAAGAATAGCACTTATAGCTATACGCTAGCGCCGAATCTGTTGATATATTCTGAGCACAAAAAGAAACTACCAGGGTATCAGCCTGTCCTAGAATTAGGTAGGTCTCTACATTTAGCTTATATCTCTTATTCTGCAGCTCGAAGGGTATGTTACGAACCCTATCGCCGCCATGCTAAGACTATCGTCCGAAACATCTCAGAGCCGCCACGCCGTCGACCTCGGACCCAGCTCCCCGCCGCCATCCTAGCCTTTAATGACCACAGGTACCCACAGCTGACTTCCTCTGGCTATGACAGGATAGGGGTACGGTCTCATATGTAGAGCGTTGCCTTTCTCACTTCTGTTCTCTTCCTCACGCTTCGTCTTGTTATTTAGGCCCATCTATAGCTCACCTTATACTACGAAGCGTCACTCACTTTACATCTTCTGGTCATTAGGTCTGCCTTAACCTATTTCATTTTGCTATTGTTCCTTGTATGTATAGCCCTGGCAGTGGAACACCCACTGCCTCCCCTTTGTTCACTCTGTTCCGCGTCCCTTCCCCCTTAGAAGAATCCGAGATATCCCTTGAGTCCTTTCCATCTGCAGAAGCCATGGCCAACGCCTGAATACGTCTCAACAACAATATAGCTAACGCACATGAGCCCTTACGTATACCTATTCTTATACAGAGCCTAGCCCTGGTTTATACTTCCTAACTCTTTAAGCATCTAGCTTAAGATTCAACTTAAGGTCTGATAGTCTAGACTTTATTAATAATAGCTATAATCTTATAATAGAATTAATAACTCTAGTATATATTTACTAAATCTAAGAAGACTATAAACGTCTTTATATTTAGTAGCTTAAGAGCTAATACTTATAAAGATTTAGAAAAATTTAGAATATACTTTATATTAAAATTTAGAATTAATATTAATAAATATTTAATATTTATATCTTATATTTATTATATATTCTCTTAACTTATAAACTATGCCTTAAATATAGCTTTAAATAATATTAATAAAAAAGTCTACTTAGATTAGCTAGATTTAATTATAAAGAACTAAAGCTTAACTTTAAAGATATAGACTTAGAATACTCTATTATTTGTTACCTTATAAAAATAAAGTAAATGTACTAGCTCTTCTTAGAATTCTACTCTAAATTTAAATAAACTACTAAAGAAACATTATTCTGAGACTATAATCTTAAAGAATTACTTAAACTAGTACTATTTAGAAAGCTTATAAAGAAGCTAGCTATAATTAATATTAGAGAAATACTATATAAGATATTTATTTAAGAATATGTTTACTAAGATAATCTGCTTTATTCTATTTTATTTAAGTAAGCAACTAGGGCCTAGAAGTTACTTACAGCTTTAGCTATTTTAACTCTAGCCTTTGCTTACTATATTTTTCCTGCCTTAATCTCTATCTGTTTTGTTATAGCCTTATTATTATTTATGCTTATCTTTTATAACTTAATAGATTTAGATTATTTAGCATCTTTAACTATTATAAATTATAAGACTAAATAGGAATAATAATATAATTTATAACTCTATTATTATTATAATAACCTAGATTACAAGGCTAATATATATCCTAAGAAGCTTAAACTATAAATTAATCTTTATGTTGCTTCCTTTATATCTACTTTTATTTATTTTGCCTTAGTATATACTTTGTTAATCTTATAGATTACTATGCTTGTTATCTCTTCCTCTTTATCTCATAATCTTATTAATACTAAGTTATTAAAAGAAGTAACTCTAAACTAAGTTATATTTAAGAAGTAAAGAAAAACATAGTTATTATTAATATATTAAATAGCTAAATAATATAATTAGGTTATGTTTCCTTATACTCTAAGAGCCTTCTTCTTAATTCTAAAAGCCTCTTAATTAAGTATAATATTAGATAATTCAAATATTAAGCTTTAATTAATTCTAGCTATAATATAATAATATATATTAGTAAAGGCTTTATATAACTATTCTCTTATAAGAAACTTAATTACTAAAGAGTAATAGCAGATTTTAATAACTAAATTATTATTACTACTTATATTATTAAAGTACCCTTATTATTTATACTTACAAGAGTTTATAAAGAAATTCTACTAATATTTATTATACCTAGACTAAAGTATAACATTATACTTAGGATGCTCTAGCTTAAGCAGTATAACCTAATAATTAACTAGGCTTTAGAGACTATAATATATAATACTAAATACTGTTATAATTATTACTTCTGAGAAAACAGAGGATACTCTATTACTTTTGAGACTATATAAAGAGAACAGAATAATAAACTCTAGATTAAGAGATAAATAAAGACTATAAAAACACTAATAGCACCTATTATAATAAGAGCTATAATATTTAACTACTTAAATAAAAGAAGAGACTATAAGATCTTTATAATATCTCTAAGAGATATTAAGAAAGCCCTGAAGCTTAAGAAGACTATAGACCCTTAAATTAAACTTCTTAAGTAATATTATAAGTTTCTGTCCTTATTTAATAAAGCTATTATTAATAAGCTTTTGTTATACTGCCCTAGAGTAGATTATAAAATTAAATTACTACTAAATACTAAACTACTATCTAGAGCCTTATATAGCATGTTTAGAAATGAATTAAAAGTCCTAAATAAGATACTAAAGAATTATTTATTAAAGAACTTTATTTATATATCTAAGTCTTTTACTACCGCCCTAGTCTTATTTATTAGAAAACCTAAAGGAGGCCTATAGTTTTATATAGATTATTAAGGCCTAAACACTATTATAATTAAGAATAAATACTTGATTTCCCTAATTTAAGAGACCTTAGATAAACTCTGTAAAGTCACCTAGTATACTAAGCTAGATATTATTATTATATTTTATAGAATTAGAATAGCTTATAAAGACAAATAAAAAACGGCCTTTCATATATATATAAATCTATATAAATAGAATATAGTTTTCTTTGGCCTTTATAATAGTCTTACTAGTTTTTTAAATTATATTAATAACGTCTTAAGAAGAGATATTTTAGACTATTTTATATTAGTATATCTTAATAATATCTTAATCTTTAGTAACTTATTAAAAGAATATTATTAATATATAAGAACTGTCTTAGGAAGACTTGTCATCTCTAAATTATAACTTAATATAGAAAAATGTAAGTTCGAAGTCTATAAAATAAAGTACTTAGGAATAATTATCTAGAGCTGCTTAGAAGATAGAAAACTAGGACAGATATATATAGACCTAGAAAAGATAGCTGCTATTCAAGATTAGGAAAAACCTAATAATACTAAGGATATATAAAGCTTTATAAAGTTTATAAACTTCTATTATTATTTTATTAAGGGATTCTTAAAGATAGTACTACCTTTAATTAAGCTTACTTAAAAGAATATTCTCTTTAATTAAGGAGATAAAGCTAAGAAGGCGTTCCAAATGCTAAAAGATATATTTATAAGCTCCCTAGTTTTATAACACTTTAATCCTGACCTACTTTATACTATAGAAACTAACGCTTTAGATAATGCTTATAAAGGAGTCTTATTTTAACCTAATAATAAAGAAGTCTTATAGCCTATAGCTTACTTCTTAAAGCGCTATGCCTTAGCTAAGAGTAACTATAAAATTTATAATAAGAAATTAATAGTTATAGTTTGTACTTTTGAAGAATAGCGTCTTAAACTTAAAGGATCTTAGGAACTTGTATAAGTAGTAATAGATTATAGGAATCTTAAATACTTTATGTTATCTAAGCAGTTGTCTTATTAATAGGCTTATTAAAGTAAGTTTCTTTCCTGTTTTAACTTTATAATTAAATACTATCCTAAGTTATAATACTATACTAATAGGTTATCCTATAAACTCTAAGATAAAGCTATTAATACTAATAATAATAAGAGGAAGTTTCTTAAATAAGTAGTCCTAAAACTAAAGAATCTAGACCTTAAGTTATCTAAATCTATTTCTGTCTATCTAATTAGACTTATAAGAATTCTGTACTACTACAAAAGACTACCTAAGTTAGGAGAAGGCTTTAAACTAATTATAGATGATACTATAGTCCTGCCTATAGTAAGCCTATAGCCCTGAACTACCCTAAAAGAAGATATTACTATTATATGTTAGAATCTTACTTAAGAAGACCTTTGCTAAGTAACTTATTAACAAGTCTTGTCTAGAATTAGAAAGTCCCTTATAGTTATATTAGCTGACTATTTAGTAGAAAATAATAAACTATACTACTAATAACGCTTATAAATTAAGATAGTGATCCAACTTTACAAAAGAGTTACACCCAAGTAACCAAAGTTACTTGAATGCAGTTGGAATAGTATATTAATTCTTATCCAGATGCCCTAGAGAGAGTCGGACCACGACTCCATCTAGGCCCTAGGAGGCCTCCATGTCAACTCCGTGACATAAATCCTTAAAAATAAAGAACTATAACTTTATTATATTTAAGAGTATTATAAATAGCTAATAACTAGCTATCTAGGCCCTACTAAGACTTATAAGATTTTACAATAATAATTTTATTAGCTAAGGATAATAGACTTAATAAAAGAATAACTAGCTAAATGTCTTATATACTATTATATAAAACTGTCTTAGGAACGCTAAGGCTAGTTATAAGCACTAGAGCTACTAAAGAAACGCTAGCAACATCTAGTTATAAACTTTATTATAGACCTCCCTAAATTTAATAATATATTCCCTAGCATTATAAGTATTTAGGTCTTAATAGACTAATT